CTGGATTTTCCTGTAAGCTGCAGTGTTTAATAAATCATAAGCTATTAAAGATAGAAAAGACCAAGTACTGCACCGTTTACACCAACGAATAGCAGTATGGCAAAAATTTAAGGAAGATATTTTTTTTGGGGGGGGGGGGGTTTGGACCCCATGAACCCTAAATACAGCCTTGCTTACATGAGGTAACCATAACATATAACCTAGCCGAAACAGTAAGGAGCCCCTTTGAGGGGTCGGGACAACATTGCCCCAACTATAAGTGTATTATAGTATAGGGCATTTATGTAAATGCAGAACCTTCATGGTGTGGATTCAGGTTAGGCCTCGGAAGCTCTGCCGAAAAATACGTTATCTAATATAAGGTCATTCGGGGTAAGTGTGATCGATCCTAATTTTTTAGTACTTACAAGTACCGTATGCCATCAACGAAGTATGCACTAAGAAGTACTCTGTCATGATAATCCTGGTTTACACATCTCGTCAAATTTCACTGTTTCAACTGAATATAAAAGTGCTCTCTTTCAACTCTATTACTTAATTCGGTGCACATCATTCGACTTTCCCAGTATGATCAGTACTGCAGAATCAAGTAACATTTTTTGTAACGTGGCAAAGTAGATTCCATACTTTTTCCAACTAGTCCCTTTCGGAGTTCCTTACACGCACGTGCTATAGGAAGACTGATCGCACTTACCCAGTAAAATTGGGCATCGGGGGTAAGTGTGATCATTCGTAACGTGGCTCCTTCTCAAGTCTTATTCACTTGTAGGCCTCGCTCGAAGACTCGAATTTTCAACTTCGTTCCTGAAGCTGAAGCCTTGCTAGAAGTTTGACACTGTGCAGGGAATCGAAAAATTCATGGAGTGGTCTCCGACCGATTCTTACTGGGTTTCGAAATTAGGCTACATCTTAATTATTTGTAGGCACCATTGGCATCATAGCACCATGAATAATGGTCTTAGAATTTGCAACACTTCCGTCAGTTTGGCATGCCTATTCCAGTCGATAAACAGGTAGTTGGAGATTTTCATAGTGCCGATTAATGACAATTTTTTAACGGTTGCAAGAGGATGGGGTTAAATGTGATCACTGAAAGAAATCTGATTTCAGGAGAAAATGCATGCAGTTCTGGCCATACAAATAAATGGAGATGGGAGAGACAGGTTTGTTAGCTAACAAAAAATAAATATTGTGTCTGCTTCCATTATCATGAGTCCCAGTATAGTCAAATATGATACGAATAGATAAAAAAATTGAATAAGACTTTCTACACGGTCGTCAGACACACATCGGAGACCCAGAGGGAACTAACTTTGTGGGATTCAGCTGGCTTGAAATGGGCATCTGGGTATAAGGAAGTACATTCCGAAGGTTTCCTTCCTTCTTCGAGGAAGAATTGACTGGGAGAGAATGGGAGACAAGCGACGAAAACGGCGGTTTCTTCCTTTCTTGAGGTTGCTTTTATTTTGTCTCATAGGGACGAGTTGGGTTCCCCGTGTCATTCTCGGTCGTTTTTCATGGCTAGGACCAACTCGCTGCATCGATGCAAGAGGGACAAAAATTTCTCCTTTTCGGCTGGTAAGGCGGCAAATTCATGACGAGACCGACGGAATTCCCATACCGATGTACACCGTCGACATTAAATGAGATTTACAGTTGGGCGGCTTCGCCAAGCGAACGGGGCACATTCCAGCACAAGTTTTTATTGATTTTTTGATTTACCATTATTTTATTTCTCATTCATGAGATGTATGAGATCGATCGAACTGGAAGATGTTTTCGCGAGGTGTGCTGCTTGTCCCGAGTTATTTTCAGATCGATTCTGTCCGAGTTGTCGAAGGGAGAAAGAAAAATGTAAAATGAACTTGCAAATTTGAGAAGGAATCGGAGGTGTGGGGCGAGGTGTCACAAAGAAAAACTGAAGATCGGATGCAATGCCAAAAAAGGCTCTTTTTAAGAAATATTTTCAGGCGGTTAGGTTAGTTAGGTTTTCAGGCAGAACGTTCCCCGGTTTTATGTTATGCATTATATAAATATAAATTATATTACTACAGAGGCCGAAAGAGAGAGAACAATTCGGAATAAATGATCCATGGAATCTCTCGTTCTCACCCCGATTTCTTAAGATTTCCCCGATTTCTGAAACTGCTTCGATTGTCCAACACGAACGAAAGTTCAGATGCGAGGAGGAAATTGGTGTGGAACTATCTCTATTTGTATTTGTGGTATCGTACCTACCGCTAATCGTACTTTTCAGGTTTTCTTTTTGGTAGCAGTTTTTAATATGTTAATGAGGCACTTTTGTGGTCGGGAAACTTTTATAACTGCTTTGGATGTGTCGTTTATCATCGAGGTTTCTGATCGGGTTTAAGGCTATGAGGAATCGCCAATCCGCAGTGCCAACTTGATCGATTTGAACCTGGAATCGAGACGTTGCGGGGGAAGGAGGGGGTGGACTGTATTACTTGAACCCATTTTTCTTCATGCGGGAATCTGCGCTGACAGGGCGCTTCGGCCTTAGCTGTAATATGGGTCTAATATATGATGTTGGATTAAGTGTGATGGGTGTTGGGGTGATCCCGGCCGGCCCTCTCCTTATTAGAGGGAGGGAAAAAGTTAGTCCTTCGAGCCGGATTCGAACCAGCGACCTATGGATGACTGCCGTCGGTAACCCCTACAGTCCACCGCTCTACCAACTGAGCTATCGAAGGACACAGAGAGATGGTTTTCTTTCACCAGCACACATACATGAAAGAAAGCGCATGTATGATTCATGCGCATGCGCCGTTATAATAGAGGGGGAAACGGAGAATCGCCTTTCCGTGTGTCCGCTATGCGGTCCACTGCCATATATCGACTGGGGAAGGTCCGACCCAATTAGACTTCTATCGCGCTTGGCTGGCATCTCAGCTGTCGTGCTCGCCTTTTGCTTTGGATCACTTCGTCCGTGGTGCTCGTCGCGAGTGCGGCATGACTCGTAGAACTGGTTTTCTCCGTAGTATTCCCTCATTAGATCATCCCATCGATTTAATTCCACCATAGGCCTAGGCGGTGTCTCTTACTACAAACCACTTCTGAATAAGAAGACAGTGATAGATTCAAGCGCGTGCTGAAATGCTTCATGTCGTAAACCATGACGAAAGTGAAACATCTCGGCAATGCTGTCAGTCTCTCAGAGGTTTTCAACGGTGTTTTATCTGCCGAGTTTTACACCATTTCACGCGAGTCCGACTGGTTTTCTTGTCACTGAGAAATGATTTTGTGACGGAGGCGATTAGGAGCTCCGCCCAGCCCGGTCGTTAATCTGTCGACCTTAATCGAATGACACTGTAGTCCATCGAACTCGTCGTTTCATGCTGAGCAGCTTTTTCTTCCTTTCCATTGTGCTGTGTGCGTCTGCTGCGTGTAGGCCTATCAGCTCGGCCTTCGTCGGTTTCATCATCGGGGGTGACCCTGGTTTCAACGAAAGTGCTTCTTTTTTGTGCGATTGCGTAATAGGTGTTTGAACAGGCCAGTTGATAATCCCGGCAGAGAATGGGGTCTGTTTATCGGGGCTCCCCGAGACTCGCTACCGCAAAACGATAAGGATACGCTCCGGTTCCCTCGGCGATGAACGGCGACGTCGGGAGCCCCCCTTCGAACGAGAGGAGACGCGGGTGCGGGTCATCCCCCCTGCGCACTCTCAGCCGCTTCGTCACCGGCTCCCTGGAGGAATGCATGTTCAGGTAATGAACAGAAGGGGGGGGGGGGGGGGGGGGGGTAATACATCTGGATGACAGAATTCATGTATATCACTGCTAGCCCTGCCAGGAATTCATACGAGTCTGCTAGCCGATTTCAACTGACGATGTTCATGTAACGAGAGAACAATTTACAAATAGGGCTTCAAACATGAAGAATGTAAGAATGTGGGCAAATGGACTGGAGGTCCTTGGGGAGTGGGTTGGCAGCGTCGTCACGGGACTGGCCATGCGTGTAATTTGATACTCATGGTAGAAAGTCAGATGATTGGTGATTAGGTTGAAGGCGGATATGTATGTAAGATCGTCTTTCCTGTGCTTCATCGTACATGCATCCGCTTGTGATGGATGGCATCATGGGGGTAAAATAGCCCAGTGTTGCCAGATTGTATTTTGTCGAAGTTAGTCGTTGGCGTCATCCGCAGGCCGGAGGCCCCCCAGGAATTTTTCGAAATTATAGTTTTTCTTTTGATAGATGAAAATAAAAAATTTTAAGCTTGCTATGCTTGCTTTGCCATGGCGTACTGAATGGCAGCATCAGGAAACCTTTGCCGTTGTGAAGTAAACTTGGATTTTCTTATCATTGGTTCCCATTGCGGTATAAATACTAGGTTTACTTAACAATACAAATATTGTATAATTTATATGGTTTTTTGGTGCTGATTCTGTCTTTGATTTAGACAGTCATAGGATGATCATAAAAGCTTTCTGATGATGCTAGCCATTTTTATAATTTAAATATGCATGCTTTTTAATCTGCTCCACTGCCCTACTTTGCTATTCTTACTTTCTTCATGTTTGAAGCCCTGCATTTACTGACTACCATTGTTGCTTAATTATTATCCTGTCAGAATTTATTTAATTAAAGATGTATTTAACCTAGTTATAATTACCTTAGCAGCTATCCCATTTCAGGAGTTATTTAGTTATTGGTTTATAATTTTTCACACTGTTTTCCTCTATTTTTTTTGCTTTATAATCCACTTTTCATATCACACTGTCAGTAGCCAGAAATTCATAAATAAATGCATGAGAAAATCTTGAAGTGGTGGCTGGCCACCTTGTGCATTTATTGATGAATTCCTTTCTCTCCTCCCTCAGATGGGGGTGCCTTGTGGGGAGGAGACCAGTGCTGGTGATCTCAATCTGCATTACTGTTTGCATGCTGAGCTCTCTGGGCCTCATGCGATTCCACATGGAAGAACAGCCCGAGAAACTCTGGATTCCACAGGATTCTCAGTTCATTGTACATAGCAGGTGGATTGAGCGCCACTTTCCAACCAAGTACCGACATCATCTAGTCATCATCACAAGTGAAAACGTCCTTCATCCGTCTGTGATACTCCAGGTGGGGTGACTTGCCCACTTCTTTCATTCTTTTTCCCCTGGAACCATTGAGTCATTCCTGTTTGGGAGTGAGAATATTTTGAAGTGTACTTTAAATGCACCTGTTCCATTATCATTTGCATTTCTTTACAGATGATCCAAATTCATGAAGCTGTGACCAATATCACTGTTGGCAACTTGACATGGAGTGATATCTGTGCCAAGTCAGTTTACAAATTTCTCTTCTTGAAGAAAGATTTTCTGGATCTATGAATTAGTGTGAAATTGGAATATTTATTTTAAATGCTTGTGGAGCAACAGAATAACATTAATAGATTTTGCCCGTTGTGCATTATATGCGTTGATCATTCTTTTTTTATAATGGGAGTTTTTTATGAATTAATTCTACTAGTGTTTCAATTGATTTGCTCATTCATTCATCATGAAATGTATTGATTTGTGTGTAAAATGTATCTGTATATCTCTTTGTCTGTTTCTGTAACACAATATTTCCTAGTAATTGCTAGGGCATTAGCAAAGCAACAGGTGGAGAATATGAGCCCTTAGGGTGTCCTTTGGGAGGGACATACAATCTCTTTGTTCCTCCTCAGGGTATTCCCAGAAAAGCATTACTATCTTGATTACTATCTACTACATTACTATCTTCATAGTGTATGAAATTTTCAGAATGGCTACTGAGCAAAGAACGTACTATTCCAAGGTCATATATGCTCGTTTTTGTGTCCATGATGATATTTCCTTGATTGGGCATGCTTAGCTTGATAAATTGTCATGAATCAAATGAAAAAAGCTATACTAATGGGATTGGTGGACCTCTCTTAAAGCAAAAATGTTTTCATGCTCTGAGTCTTGAATAAAGGCATTTTGTATCACTTATTAAAACCCATCTGTAAATTTCTATTTGTGTGATTCCAAATATACATTGGTATGGAATAAACCATGTCTTAAAGGAATGTTTTTAATATACTTGGTTCTGTTTCAGATTGCCTCAAGTGAAGGGGTCATGGATGCCATTGGCGACCTCATTTGTGGACCCATTCTCCCTCATCTCCAACGGTTGGCTCTCAATGGACACTTATTGTGGAGTCCTTGAGGGTTTTCCCAAGGCATGTTGGGCAAGAGGGATCCCAGAGCTCTTTAACTATAACTCTGATGCTGTCCGGAATCTGTCCCTCACTGATGTGCTCATAGCTTTGAATGATCTCAAGCACAGGTGAGATTGAGGCTGAAGGGATTTCTCAGAAGGAAATTTTCTGTCTTAGATGTAGCAGTTATTGCTGAGCAGAAGATATATATTAGGTTGAGGAAAAAGTTCGTGCGCCGTTTGCGACGTTGAAGGTGAAGGTACGGTGGCACCGTACCTTCACCTTCAACGTCGCAAACGGCGCACGAACTTTTTCCTCAACCTAATATATATCTTCTGCTCAGCAATAACTGCTACATCTAAGACAGAAAATTTCCTTCTGAGAAATCCCTTCAGCCTCAATCTCANTAGGTTGAGGAAAAAGTTCGTGCGCCGTTTGCGACGTTGAAGGTGAAGGTACGGTGGCACCGTACCTTCACCTTCAACGTTGCAAACGGCGCACGAACTTTTTCCTCAACCTAGTATAATATGCTACTAAAAAAAAAAAAAGAAGACCCCATCAACATTTTCCCCATGTCTCTGCTATTGCTGGAGCAACTTTCTCAGTTTTTGGGCTGCACATGAACTGATGGGTTCATAAAAACTTTTTAAAATTCAATGCAAATTTTGATCCACCAAAGCAAGGCTGTAAGCAATTATTTAATATAAATGGAAATATGAGGAGGAAATTTAATCCTTTCAAAGTGACTGATGATTGGTGACTCCACCTGTCACCTCTTCCTGGTCATTGGTAATGATTCCTTAATTTAAACTCCCAGTCATGTTCAATTCCTTTTCGATTTCTTTTCTTTTTTTTTTAATTACTCATGACTTGGAACAAATTTAGATGGAATGTTCAGAATACATGAATCCAGTGAATGAACAGTCACTTTGGACAGTGCAGGATTTGTGGGAGGCACTCCACCTATAGTGGGAATGTATGAGTTAAAAGTTGAGGTCTTAATACAAACCCAGTATGTTGATTCTACATTCCCATTAAAGTAAGACTAATGACAAATAAATATTTTTCTTGCACTGATACTTTGCAACAGAAGGCAGAAAATTATACAGATATATATATATAGGTGGGTTGTGTGTCATTTATGGCTACCAATATTCAAGCCATTATTGGTAATTGGGGTTGATGGACTCAGGAGATGAATGAAGAAAATTTTTCATTAAAAAAACATTCCCTGTCAATGTCACATTCAACCCTGATTACCTACTGAGATCTTCCAGTTATATGAAAATGAAAAAAGAAAAGTTTTTCTGTTTTATTTTTCCCACTCTTAAGCTTCAGAATAGCCTCTTACCTCATAATCCCAAATTTTATTCCAGTCCAGTGTATGGGTTGGAGACTGAGGTGGAGTCTTTTCTAGGAGGAATTGAAAGGGATTTTCGTGGTCGAGTCATTGGTGCCAAAGCTGCAATGCTTCACTTTGTTACTGAACCTCAGGATTCAAAATGGGGTTGGGTTGGTGGAGCTGCTAGTAGCATGGGAGCTGGCAATAAGGTGAGTCTATTGTTCGGTTTTTGGAATGTAACATTGCTTCCATTTGATGATTTAATGTAGAAATCTCATCTCCTGAATGTCAGCTGTTTTCAAGATTTCAATCTCTTTCATGGATGATATACCATTCATGCAAAAGCATTCTGGCTTTGTGTTTGAGAAAGGAGGGCTTGGTTGTTCTGGAGCACCATTGTAGTCCTAGATTATTGGGGTAGAGGAATGTTGGTAGAAAATTCATTCGTTATGACAGAAGCACGCCTGTGACCACTCTAGAATGACAGAGTGTGCTTTTCTTTTTCAAGTGCAGATGGTGGCATATTTGGGAAGGGACCCACTCCTCAAGATGAGACATTGAAAAAACCTAGTTGAGGAGGTTTAGTCCTGGTAGGGCATTCCTAGAGTAACCCTTTCAGCCAATTAAATTTATATCTCTCAGGGGATTACATGGGTGGGGGTTACTTTTTCTTGGTTACTTGCAGGTTAGAGACAGGAAGGATTCAAATGAGTCATGGGGTACATTTATGGGTTAGAACCTCTGGGACACTGTGAAAAACTTTGTAATGTGTTCCCTCTGAGAGTATATTTTGGAACCAAAATTAGAACATTTCATATTTTCACTTAGTCTGAGATACATATAACTGGATTTGTACATATGTAGGATAATTTTTTTCAGTTTCTTTGATGTGAATTGGAGCCTGAGGTAGTGTCTTTCTTGTCCAGGCTGACCCAGTGAGTGAAGACTGGGAGAATCAACTTGTACATCTCATCACCAAGTCCAGATTCCCACCTGGAATTGAAGTCTCAGTCCAAGCTGCAAAGAGGTACAAAATGAAATGCTTTGGATCTTGTTTCCAAGTTGTTCTTATGTGCCCTTTGATTACTCTGTTCAACTCATGCAGCTTTGGAGATATCACAGAGGGGACAATTGAGGGAGATATTCCACTGCTCCTTGGAAGCTGTCTCCTTATGTATTGCTACATCTTCTTTGTCCTGGGGCGGTTAAATATGGTGGAGCAGAGAGTGAGTTGTTTGTGAATGAAGGATTGGATGTTGTCTTCAGTCTGATTTGAAAAAATTATAGATTGCATGGTTTGGCTGATCAGAAGCACTTGCAGTAGATGCACCTGAGGCTTTGCCCTGCAGTTTTATGCCAGTGAGCCTGTGCTATATCTGAAGCACACATGCCCATTCCTATAGTTCATTCAAAGGAAATGCTGTGAATTAAGAATTGAGGAGCTCTATGGAAGAGTCACCAAAGGACATTATGCAATCTTAAGAAATTTAACTTCTTGAACTCCCTTTGTTGTCAAATTAAGAAGTACATTCCTGCCATCTGCTGTGGATCATTCCTGTGCCCCAAAATTTTGTTCTTTGGAATTCTTTATGCCCAATTTTCAGAACCAAGTGCTCTTGGTTCATTCTTCCATGAAACTCTTCATCTTGTTCAAAATTGTCCACCTACATGAAATTTGAGTGTATATGATGAAATGCCTGCGTATTGAGACAGTGCAACTAGAATAAAAGTGCACAATGTCATTTGGCATAAAATATTTGGGCCCACTTAAAGTAAAGCATGCATTTGAAAGTAAAGCATGCAATATTATTAGTCCATCAAGATTTTCCATTGAAGTCAAGGGGAAAATCTCAGTGGGCTTTCACTAATGCATGCTTATTTTCCAAAAAAAGTGGGAACTTCCTATCCAGCACACTTGCAAGAATAAAGTATGGGAAGAGTTATTAGTGGAAATTATGTTATATTCTGTTAAAAATTCAAACATTTTATTTGAAAATGTCATTGCTTGGTCTGGGTAGAATTGTACAGATGATCTTTTTAAATGTTTCTTTTACTTGAATTCACATATCTCAAATTTCCTGTCATTGCTAATAATTTCTGTTCTCATATTTTGTCTTCATGCAATTAATTAGAAATCCAATAATTGTGAAAAATTAAATATGACCATGAAAAATGAAACAAAAACTTTTCAAGGGGTTGTTCTTAGCTAGAAGCTATTCTTGCTAGAGTAAAAATAAAGAAACCAGTGCTGCTGGATGAGGAACAGAATTTCTCCTTCTTCCCTCACCAATAGGCAGGGATGTAGCTTGGGGCTTGTCCCATGGTCTGGACACCCCTTAAATGGAGAAAGATTTCATGGAACAATTTAAAGAGTGAAATGATATTCAGTGCTCAGCCTTCCTGGAGTTAGGAAGGGATTACATCCCATCAGGTAATATTTGACTCAGGATGAAACTTGCAAATGATTTTCACATTACCAATGACTCTGGCTTAACTGATTGCATGACTGTAACAATTATATGCCTGGTTATGGTAATAGATCTACCCTTGCCAAATCTCATAATGGAACTATTGGTTTCCAAGAATATTAGGGCTCACTCTGGATTTTTTTCATTCACCCATTCAGCCAAAATGTGAAACCAAGTCTTCCACTTTCATTCAGACACAGTGCAGAAAGAAAGAGAATAAAATGAAAAAGTGAAGTGCCCTCAGAATGATGGGGAAAGAGATAGAGATAGGGGCTTTCAGAGTTTTTCCTCATCCCTCCCTACCAGACCCCCTTTCCCACCCTCTATCATATGATAAGACAAGAAAGAGCCACAGAACACCTCCCCCTTTGAAGAATTCATGCCAACATTCGCTGTTGATAGGGAATTAATGAATTCGATAATTTTTTTTTAAAGAAATGTAGCCCAAGTACCCAGTGTCTCTGACTCTTATATGGTGCTTTCATCATTTGTCTTTGCCCTTTCTTTCCTTTTGGTAAATGTAAGAACTAAATGTGATGATCTTCACTCTTTAAAATCTAATGGAAATGGAAATCAGGCATGAGAACAAATATTTGACATTTGGATATATTCCTTGAACCCAGCTTTTATATCCCTGGCATCCTGCTTAATATGGATATGAGCTAAAGTAGCTTAGTGTGGTGACTGTATTACAGATGGATTGGGGTGAGAGTGTAAGAGCAGGAAAGGAGAAGATGACATCCTTCAATCTGAAGGAAACATATGCATTATTTGCCATGGATGAACCAACTGATACAGACCTGTTCGTTTTGATGATGTTGCCATTCTGCTCCCTGCTTTTTACCTGGTGTTTTTTTTTGGGATGAAAATCTCATGAGATTGCTGGGATGTTTCTCCTTGTTGAAAGGAATTATGTTAAAGGTTGCCTTTTATAAATAGCATGATGGTTCTTGAGAGCATGTCTCTGTGTGATTGCTGTTGAATCCTTTGGAAAATAAGGGGATCTATGGGTAATCCATAGATCCCCTTATTTCCTGAAGCTGGGGTGATACACAAATTCTCATATATCCCCACTGTAATGATGGAACATTAAAAGAGAGAGTTCCATCAATGTGCACCAGGCTTCATGAGCATGTGTAGATGAGTTCAGTTTCATCTGCCTTCTTGCGGAGAAGAGTATTTCTCTTCTTTATTTGTAATACTCCACAGGTTGTAGTATGATTATGAATATAATTCTCCTACAGAAATAAAAACTTCCCAGTGTGTTTCATTATAAGTGACATAGAAAGCACAATATTCTTGCATATATGTTCCTTCTAAGTTTTGAACCTCCATGCATGTTGTTTTTACCTTCTTGCATGACATGTTTAACATGGAAAAAATTTCACATGTGCTGCTTTTACCATAATGCACTATGTTTTCACCCTCTATGTTCTGGAGCAGGAACTCATGCCCAGTGTCTACTATGTTAATACTTTGTGAGTTGCTGGAAAAATTTTAGGACCTCAGCATCCAACCAAGAGGAAGGCTAAAAGCTATACTTCTTTATATCAAAGATGGAAATTGTCATTCATGGTGGTAAAAGTGGTGCATGCAAAAGTAGAAGGGAGTTGAAACCTTCACTTGCAATGACCTTATTTCTCTTATGAAGCTATCTGTGTTCTTGATACTAAACACTGATATTTGGTTACTTACCCCCAGGTGTACCTATCAGGGGCAGGCCTGCTGTCGATTGCAATGAGTGTGCTGACCTCCATCAGCCTCTGTTCCCTGGTTGGGCTTCCCTACAGCCCCATACACAATCTCCTGGCCCTGCTCATCCAAGGTCTGGGTGTGGATGACATGTTTGTCATTCTCCAGAGTTGGAACAACCTCCAGTTACAACATTGGGGGAGCAACAACGAGAAGCAGATGACACCTGGGATGTCCGAGCGGATTGGGGAGACCCTGAGGCATGCAGGAGTCTCTATCACTGTCACGTCCCTCACAGATTTTGCTGCCTTCCTCATTGGGGCATCCACAGTGAGATGCAAACCTCATAAATATCATCATGAATCATAAATCTTTGAGTTGAACTAGTTTTTTTGTTTTGCAAACCAGAACTTCTTTCATATAAAATTATTTCATTAGGATGCAAATAGAGCCTAATTATAATGTGACTGCCCCCTTTTGATCGTGTGTGCATGTCAATAGCCATGTACCCCTTCATGGGCCCATCACCTTCCCATATGAGATATACTGTTTAGCATGTGTGAGATATAGTTACAAAGACAATAGGATATTTAGGAAAGATAGCAAAGTAAAGACAGATGATAAGAAAAATAAGACCCTACAAGTACGAGGGATATCCAGAAAAAAAAGGTTACAAGTGCCCTGGAGGGTGCAGGGAATTTTTTTTTTTGAAGGTTGGCATACCTGCGTGTAGGGGGGTTCCTAACGGTCAAAATAAGCCCGGGACCGCGTCAGTCAGTTGTGAAATGTCGTCACAGCAAGCGAGTTCGTCAACCTCTGTGTATAAAAAAGCTGGTGCCCAGGCTGAAGAAGTGCATCGAAGTTGATGGCAATTATGTTGAGAAATAAACACATATTTTGGAACATACCCTGTAAATTTGGTTGAAATATATTCATTTTTCGATTTTTAACAGCTGTTGTAACCTTTTTTTCTGGATATCCCTCGTACAATGGGGAAAGAATGAAGGTGGATGTGACCATGGGGCATAATGGTGAAGATTTCCTGAATAGCTCCTGCATAAATTGATGAAATACATTCTGGTAAAGGTTCAGGTAGGGACATCAATAGTCAATTTTGGCCTGTTAAGATGCATATGTCAGTGTTGAACATTTGTATTGAATGTCTTCAGATCATTGGAATAAGTGGGAGAAATAAAAAGCAAAGGGGAAAATTATTGAGCTCTAAGTTTGCACTGGATCAGGTGTGCATATGTATTTGTGTGTTCGATGATGCCTTTAGTTATTTAAATTTGTGAATGTGAAAAAGACCATCCAAGAAGTTGTATCATTATGTGATGGGACATTAGATGTGCATTTGTTGCAGATTCTCCCATGCCTGAGTTGGTTCTGCATTTATGCAGCAGTTGGGATCCTCATCACTTATGCATTTCAAGTGAGCTTCTTTGTGGCGTGCTTCTCCCTCGATAATCGACGTATTGAGGCCAGAAGGAATGGGATCATGCCATGTGTCATGCACTCTCAACGTCAGCCTGACAATTGCTTTCAAAAAGATCATGGCCAAATCTTTTTTGGGCGAGTTTTGGCTCCTTTCATTCTCAGGAAGCCCATTAAGGTAAAGGACATTCGTGAAATTCTGCAGCTTGTGAATGTTGTAATTGTATTCTCATCATGTGTCTTTGATGTCTCTCTTTTATATTAGATTTTGGTGTTGGCATTTACAGCAGGAATGCTGGGGATGAACCTGTTTGGTATTACCAAACTTAGGCAGGAATTTGAGCTCTCCTGGTTCATCCCCCAGGGCACATACATCTCTCGCTTCCTACGTGCATACGAGACGCATTACTCGGAGCGTGGAAAGCATGCTCATGTCTTTTTGGGTGCTCTCAACTATTCTCAAGACCTTCCTGTCATCACCAAAATAGAGAAGGAGCTTGCAGCAAACCATCATGTCCTTCACATGGAGGCTTGGTTCTCTGAATTTCGAAATTGGTCTGCACATTATTACAAACAAGGTATGGTGTCATTCCATGAGCCTTTTCATTAATTTCCTTTTCTAGTGATGATACTTGCATGAAGTGAAGAATTCCTTATAGGCTTGGAAGAAGATGATATTTCAGAAGAGAAATTCTCCAACTTACTCAGCAACTTCCTCCATAGCCCACAGGGTGCACGTCATCGGGGTCATTTTCACTTTGATGGAAATCTCACATGTGGGGTGCCTGCTCCTAAAGTTCTTGTAAGTATATAACTCTCCTCTTACTCCAAATATAACTCTCCAGGTAAGCATTTGCTGTTGAAGTAAGAAACTGGAAGGATCCAATGCTGTGTTGATTTGCAGGCAAGGACTTCATTTATTGCTTGATATTTGTGAAGGATTGCAGATATTTGATTGCACAGGACATCTGTATTTTGTTACCTTGCTTGGTGTTTTGCTGCAGTCATGTTTGGTGCCTTGCAGGAAGTAACATTTGACTTCAGCAAAATGTAGAGGTGTACTTACATGATACCTTAGGATAAGATTTCATCACATCTTGTATGATTCAGATAATTATAGTAAAATCTTTTTGATACTGCCGATATTCAGTGGAGTTCTTTCACAAGGACACACCTATTCCCAAAAGATTCATGAGACATGTCAGACCACCAATGTGTATGTTTCCTATTGTTTCAATGCCCTATATTGACTTTAAGTAAAGAGAAAGGCCTTCTGCGACTGAACAGCAATGGAATTGCACTGAGATGACCAACACTTTTTGGCAGGCCTCAAGTATTGATGTTTCCCTGAGGAATCCAGGCTCATCGAAGCAGAAGGTGCAGATGATGCACGAGACGAGGAAGGTGGTGGAGAGGAGCTCCTTGTCTGGGGATGCATTCATGTGGAGCTGGTACTTCTCCGGCTGGGAGACGGACGAGTTCATCGGTGAGGAGCTGATGCGAAACTTGGTGCTTGCGTCTCTCGCCATACTTGTCGTGACGCTATGCCTCATTGCTCACATCTTCACCTGCACTCTAGTTCTCTTTAGTGTCCTCTGCACTCTAGTACGTTTTGTCTGCCCTGTGCTTTGAGAATTGTTGGAGTGCAAAGAAGTGGACTTAATCATTGCATTTTTGGTTTGTGCTAAAGGTGGATGTGGCTGGATGCATGTTCTTTTGGGGCTTGACCATTGAAGTGGTCACCAGCCTCAACCTCATTCTTGGGATTGGGTTGTGTGTTGACTACTCTGCTCACATTGGTAAGGCCTTCTCTTGTGTCGTGTCTTCTGGTCTTATGAGCACGCTCTGTGAGTTGATCATGGCACATGCCACAATCATGCATTCATGTTCATGAAACTTAAATCCAATTTAGAATTTTATGTACAATTCTAAATTGGATTTTTTACTAAATTCCTAAATTGGAACATTTTCTTGTGAGTCACAATCTTTGTCCAGATAGAGGGAGCACCTGAATATCACGATTCCTTAAAAGTTCTAGAGCCGCTTTTGTGCTATACATTGAAGGGCTTCTCATGATCCATGACTTTCTTGTTCTGAGTCCTCACTCCTCAGACCTTTGACCTTTGAAAATGACCTGTTTCTGACCATGCCTTCCAGAGGCTTGAGTATTTTTCTTCATCCCCATCTTTAAATCACATGAGGATATTCACACTTGACTGTTCCCATTATCTTACTGTGGACATTAGCCAGAGCGTAATAGCCGCGTGGTTATGGTTTTAAAAGATCACAACTAATTACTGCAGGGCCGGATCATTACTGTGAAGCTCACTCAAGTCAAAGCAAATAAAGACGAAGTGTAGCTGACAAAATCTTACTACATATTGGGGTTGGATATGCTTCCTTTCCATTGAAGCGCTATAAAACCAAGTAACTTGCCACTAAGTCAGATTGAATGTGGCTTAAAATAGCCAGCTGTTGAAAAAAACTAGTCCTCATCCCACCAGGGGTAAATATTTGCTAGCGATAAAGGGGGGTGTTAATCATAGTGCACAGGAATCACTGTTTTAATTTTTTGTCACTATTGAGTAAATTATCTTAATCAAATAACTTCAGTGGACGTTTACTAAGATTGCAAGAAAGGTCATTCGGCTGTTCAACATTTCCACATAGGACTTTTTGAAAGTAGCGGTATCTATAATCTGGTAGGCCACACTTTCATGACGTGCCGTGGGACCCGAGACGAGAGGGCCGCGGAGACTCTGGAGAAAATCGGAAACGCAGTGTTCCACGGTGGCTTCAGCACGCTCCTCTCCTTCGTTCTCCTGTCGACCTCGTCGTCCTACGTCTTCTCCGTTTTCTTCAAGGTCTGTCCGTTTCTGATGCGGTCGGGAAGGTGGAGGCGGCGGGATGCGCTGTCACACTTTGCTTTCCTCCTCCCTCCAGGAGTTTTTTCTCACAACCGTGTTTGGGCTGTATCACGGTCTGGTGTTTCTCCCCGTCGTGTTGAGCATCGTGGGGCCGGAAGCGTACACGGGGAAGCCGCCGGCGTGGAGTAAAAGGGACCGAAAGGATCGACCGTCTTCTCCGGAGAGAGTGCTGGTCGAGTACGTCTCGGTCGTCTGACCTTGCACCTTGGTGGTTGCAGGTATTACGGGCGAAATCGTCCAAGACCTAGAGTCCAAGACGCTAGGGGCCAGTTCTTAAAAGGAGTCACGAGTCTTTCGCGACTCATTTGCCGACGCGGCAGTGGACGCTGACATCTCGGAATGATCGATGAAGAATGACTTATGGTCACGTCCGGTTGGTTAGGAAGGCCCATGACATTATGACATTCCAACAGTGTTATCGACTGCTATATATAACTATGTCCAATGGCAGTTACAGCATTTCTATGTAAAACCATTGCTCAATGGGCCTGTCGATGCCTTAGGGACAAACGTTTTCGTTTTATATATGTAGCGCGAGCTGGTATTCGGTTGATCTCAGGAGTCGAAGCAACATGAGCGTCATGGGGATGTGCTTGCGAGACTCAAATGGATTTTACGAAGCCAACCGTACGCCTTGACGCATTAAATTCCTTTATAAGGTTGAGTGGTACCTCAGATTTTTTGTTGAAGAACCTGCCCTAGAGCTCCTGCTGTTTAACAAAGGAATTGTCTTTCGCCATTCCTTCAGGTAAATGTTGTATTTTGTAGACTATGCAGGCTTTTGATTGTTATTACAGAAAATGAAATGTGCCAATTGTGGGGAAATGATTGTGCAGTACGAGTGTTTAACTGAAACTAACCATTCCATTGTGTCATTTGTCAGTAATTCTGTTAATTTGTTCAAGTGCCAGAGATCTGATAGCAATTCGATGCCATCAGAGCATCCAAGGTAAGTGTTTGGTCGGCAAGGCCTTCAAAGTTGGAACATCTCAACAGTTGACCATGTTCATCGAATTCTTATTTGGTGCTGTATTTGGTACAGTGCCTATTGCTTACTTTTGTCTTGCACGCATGCAGTCTAGTCAAGTGCCATATGTGTAAACCATGACAGTACAGCGAAATAAAGTGCCTGTTTGTACCTCAATCCAATCCAAATACAGTTCCTATGCAATGCAATGCTGCTTTATTCCTCAGTTCTCGGCCATCACACTCGACACATCCTTTCTAGCACATCGTCACTTCAAGCCATCTCAACCACAATGCAAGGCACTATACACCGTACAGAATTCCCCAAATTGACTGGTTGCATGCATTACTTCAGGGATATCATCTTCCCCCACGATTCCCATGAGAAAGATCTGTGGGTATTTTTCATTCTCCCCTGGAATGAATAACAACAAATGCCTTCTGCTGCAAGAGGGATAACAGAACAGAACATTCCTCACTGGAATGAAGATCATGAAAAACAAAATGTAAATAAAGAGGTCAAGTGAGGTCATGCAAAAAAAAAGGCATATAAATATAAGCTGAGACCACAAGAAAAACTTTGAATATAAAACAGTACTCTTGCAGTTCTCATTTGTGTTGGAGAGTTGTTCCTCCTAGGGCTCGACTGGAAATAAAGTAACACAAAGATAGTCAATTTCAAATGGAACATGGCTGAAAGCTCCAAGTTCAAATTTGCTTATTTCATGACTTACTATTGCTCATACTCATTGAGCACATCTGGATGTCTCTGACGGAGGAACTCCATGAGCTGCATCATGTCCTGCATAGCAGACACCATCTTTAAAGCAAACGATTCATTGCTGCGGGAATCGTTCCTCCCTTGCATCCCGTGTTGATGAGGTCGAGTGTCCAGGGACAATTGCACCTTCTTGGACTCCGGCACGAGTGGAACACCCAAGGTGTTGTTGGAGTTAGTAAGGGGCCGTTTTGTAGGCGGAACCCCCGAGGACCGGTCGTCTTCTCTTCGCTTCTCTGCCTTCTTCTCCTCCTGTCGTCGATCCCTCGAAGGGCATGCGCAAATCCTCAGATCCAAGGCCTTCCGCCCCACCACCTTACCACTGAAGGACAAAAATATACTCTATCCTCAAATCTTCAAATCTTCAACTGAGGCATACACTTCAACTTTATGCTGATGCATGAAGCCCTTAAATAGGAGAAGATTCAATAAATCTATTCAAAACCGAGAACATATTTCCCGGCATTTATAGAACAAATTTACAAACGTAAACGATGAATGGATTTTCAAATCATGAAAATCAATCCACTTATGAAACTAAGCAACTACTGTCTCGCGGGAGGTATTAACCGTTCAAAATAAATAAATAAAAAGGGTACCAGGAAAACAAGTAGTTACACGTAAACTTGTCCAAGAGAAGCATCTCTAACAGCAGGAAAAACATTCCCTACGACTGGTCTCCTCTCGACATCCACCAATAAAGATGCAGCACTTCACGATAACGAGAAGGCGATCCAACCTTTTGGTCTCGAGCGTGAGGAGCAGCTTAGTCGTCCTCCTGTTGATCCCACCGGGACAAGACCCAAGGCAGGCAAACTGAAGCAGCAGGGTCGCAAACTCCGTCCCCGGAGGAGGTCGATCGAGCGGGATGACGACCGAGTACCGTCCGCTCGGCGACCTCTCGTACCTGGCATTCTGATGATCCGCTCTGATGATGTGCTGCAGGAACTCTTCGTTCTGTGTGCAACCTGCGGACGAAAGCGCGTCGAACTTGCTTCAAACCATCGACTACGAATCGAAGGGACGCAGGGGTCGACGGTTACCCTTGTTAGAGTCGTGACTCGCTTCCGCGTGGTGAGGGCACCGACTCACGGCAAACTGGATGTAATGCGGGGACGTATACACCAACATCGCCCGGATGTTCAGAGGTTCGTAGTCGTGCTGATTCACGTGAACTTGGAAGGGGCACGTCTTCACCATCTCCACGAACAACTTCTCCAGAGGGGAAGACCACTGAAGAACGAAAAAATCGCGTCAGACCCACGCACAGATAAAAAATCGTCCCGCAAAACAGCGCCAAACTCACGGTCCAGGTCCCACTGGAAGAATTCGCGGCTGCAGGAAAGGTGACATCGAAGCCATGCTCCCCGTCCCAGTTCGTGGTCGCTGGGACGGGATCCGGCGGCAACTCGTCCGGTTCCGTCGACTCCACCTTCAAGTCCGGCATCTGGGCCTCGTACAGTAGCGGCTCTTGGGCCCGCATCTGGAATTCGTTAAAGCTGGCGGTGTGTCCGAGCAAATCCTGCGGTTTTGAGCAAACCCTGTCCTCGGTCAGGCTAAACTGCACGGAAAGAAACGGTGACCCTCACGATGCAGAGTCCTTTCGACGCCATGCCAATTGAGCCCAGCCTTCTATTCCAAGAGCTTAAACGGTAATGATAAAAAAGTACTGCCTCTAATCGATTTCCAAAATTTACTATCTCGTTGCAAAAGGGCGATCAAGGCCATTCTCTCAGATTTAGAGACCCAATACCCATCAGAGAAATACATCTGGATGACAGAATTCATGTATATCACTGCTAGCCCTGCCAGGAATTCATACGAGTCTGCTAGCCGATTTCAACTGACGATGTTCATGTAACGAGAGAACAATTTACAAATAGGGCTTCACTTTTGCGGTTTTATAGAAGCGGCAAAGCGCATCCCATTCTTCGTGTGAGCGGGATAAGGAGATAATTGACGATTTGATCATGTGGTCACTCCGCCTCAACTGTGCGCCGCAATACGCAATGTCAAGCGCTTACTTTTTGCATTCAACAGCTTATCAAAAAAATATGAAAAATATCGAATCGTTCAGTTCGGCGGTCCACGGCTGAAACCGAACTGCGAGCGGATGCTCTGAAGCCCGACTTACAAATGGTTTAAAGTTCACAGTCACTCTGATGCCTGGGCGTAGTCCAACTTAAAGATCATCCACTTCCCTCCATCCCTTTTTGCAAGTCAAACGGAAATGTCGCAAGAGGACGAACGGGGCTTATCTATATATATATATATATATAATCCATGCAATATGAGGTGTCCCGCGATTGCAACAGGAGGAAACTACTATCACGCCATCGGAAAATCGTCTCCATTTCGGCGGTTGCATCAGTCGATGGAAAATAAAAGCAAAATCGAGAGGGAGAAGAGAAACCCACGAGCCCCGTCTTGGGATTGTATATCACGAAGTATCGGCGATCCCGCGGTTCTTGCGGATCGCTGGAGGAATCCTCACGATCGGACTCCTTTTCCTTGTGCATGGAACCGCTGCACTCTTTTCACCCACAACGACCGTCTTCATCAAGTAGGCCGGATGCCACCTCGAAAACCGGAACGAGAAGTACCGTCGATTTCGACGACGGGGAACTACGCGGAACACCACCTCGCTCGGCTCTTATATAGGCTCACGGCCCGAAACGTTCCTATCTCCGCAGAATCCCCATGAGTCGCCTGTTGACGAAACCGGCCGAGAACGAGTCGGGACTCGTCCCGAGCGGAGCCCTCCGCGGGCACCGTCATACCGCACGGCCACGCAACCGCAAAGCGGGCGGCAGCGCAACGTGGAGAGCGGAACCGGCGCCGTCGGGTGGTTGGCGTACCAAGGGCGAGATGGCGCCAGCCGTCAATGGGGGGAGGGAGAGAACGACCGCCTCACGTGACTCTCACAGTTGCGCGCGATTGCATCATGCCGGATCCGGTCGACCGGCTTTCGCCTCCTAATCTCTTCCCCACAAGTGTCAGTAAATATAGTGGGGCATTATCCAAGCGTCCTAACAAAATAAACGCCGAGGCCTGGCTTTCATTTATGATTCGCGATCTCGATCGGTCATAACAGGAACAAATACACGAGTCATTTGAACCGAGCGTCTGATATCGGATACTTCCTCCCAGGATACGTCTCCCATGCCGCCTATCAATCGCTTGACCTTGACGCCCGAAATGTAATGAAAAGCTCATGACGCAACTCACCACCGCGTCCAGACTGTCCTGCCTGCTGAAGAACGAGAGCCTCGGAGTCTCGTCCTCCGACGACCGCCTGAAACACACAATACATCCCGCGATCATCCCCCCCAAATCCCCAAACACGTGCACGGCACCTGTTTAAACCCGAGGGGGCAATAAAAGGCCTCAGGGCGACGAAGCCCCCTCGGGGATGCCCCAAGCAAAGGGAAAAAAAAAATACTACTAACCCTTCGGAATCTGAGACCTGGAAGAAATCTCTCACGTCCCTTTTAATCACATTATAGACTTCAGGCGGGATGAGGGACTCGGAGTCGGTCCCTTCCTGACTCCCACTCATGGCTGAGGTGTGACCCACGACTCCAACCACTTTTTGGCACCAAAAAATCACACCTCACCCACCTGCAGGAAAAGTCAACCAGGGCCTGCAATTAATCCTTCGATAGAACCCGTCATGTGATGTCGACGCTAGGGAGTCTGTCCTCAAACCGAGGCAAGACTTAGGCCAGGGATAAGCCGAACAGTGGCATGGCGGTGCACATTTGGACAGGCCCTAATCCTCATGTCACGCCACGAAGTGATGGGAGCTCGAACGTGAAAAAGTGACACTGTTCAGGACTAGGCCTATGCACTCACACTCACTGGCACAGGCGAAACTGATGAAGAAAAACCTCGCGGAGAAAGCGACTCAGACGCGACGCGAGCCACCTGTCACTCGAACGAAGGCCAAGGGAAGACTGAGAGCGAAAGGCGTGTGAAAGAGCAGTGGAGGCATAGGCCAAGCGAACACGTGCAGCGGCTGCGCCGCTAGCCCCAGGCGGTTCGTAGCGCATACGACCCGCCTCAGAGCCGTATTCGCGGGAACACAAATTGGAATCGCGGAGAGGACCGGCACACGCGTCACCATCGACCGATAAATGCAGACTGAGGGCAGTGGCCTAACGCTCGTGATCTCCATGCGCAGCGATCGTAGGGGCAGAGAAGGGAGCGCGCCAGAATTCCCGCGTTTATCCCTTGTGGCTTCTTCGACTGCCACTCGACATTGCGTCAGATTTTCACTTCCGTTACACAAGGACCGGTCAGACGAACCTGGAGACGCTCCTTTAAAAGCAATATGGTTATGTATATCCATGTCGTGCGAGGACACGTTTTCTCGGAAAAAAAAAGGGAGGGGGAAAAAGGGGTGAGCGATCTCAAGGAGAAGCGGCCCCCTATTATTGTCTACTTGTCTCGTGGCCTCGAGAAGCCGATAACAAGGGCTGTTGAACGGATTCCCTCATCCACCTGATCGGGGGCAACGTAGCAAAGACGTAGCGCCCCTCGAAACTCGGGCTGCGATTGGCGGAGGATTCGCTTGGCTCCGCCCACCTCGTGCCTTCCAACGTGGAACCGCGTGGAACTGACTCATTCCGGAGTGAGTCATGTTTGTGTGATCGTCGCGGGCAGGTCGATGGAGAAAGGAAGAAAATTCCTTCGTCTTTGTCTAACGAAGTTCTCCCTCTTATTTCTCTCTCTCTCGGGCCCTGTCTGGCCCTGTCCCTTCTCAACGCGTCAGGTTTTAATTGGATGGTCGCCGCTTGGATGTGGAAAGTCGCTGTCAGTACATTTGGATTTCTTGGTTCTATGGAGATGCATAAAAAGAAGTATCACAACTTATTGGGTTTTAATGACGCGGAAGTAATTAATGCAAATGTTTAGCAAATTGCCATTCCCAAGATGAAGGGATGAAGTTGTTGGCGAATTCTGAACGTGCTAAAAATAAAATCTCAACATTTTAGAAAATGTATTTCATATTGTCGACGTAGATGGTTGATGGCTCATTTCTTTCGTCAGTCTTCTCTTTTGCCATTTTTGGTTTCTGTGTTTCAGGCGATGATTTTTCCCTCGCATTCAGCTGAAATTGCATCCACGTCTTCCAATTGATCCGAGGAGAAAAAAAAAAACGAGTGGCTTCATCGGCACAGGCGGGAAAACGTCTGGCACCCCGTCCAAAATCCAGCACGTTCGAGTCGCCGTCTCGCAGTCTCCTTGGCGGGACCTTTTTTTTTTGCAATGTGCAGATTAGACGGCGAGACGTGGATCCATGCCAATAACGCTTTTTCGTGGTAAAAAATTTCGCCAGTCATTGCGAGAAATAAACGTCCGACCAACGAATGGCGATTCGCGTTTCACGATCTAACTTACATTTTGCATTCAAATTTTCAAGCATCTCTGTGAAGAAAATTTAAGTCGAATATTTAGTGTAATAAATCGACATTTATTTTTACCTGATTTCACCCGGAATCGGAGGGAACGCTGTCGCTGCTGGCTCCTGGGCTATCTCTTCGTCTCGATTTTTTCCTAGTATTCATGGAGTCAAACCGGTTTGTGGGAACTTTTTTTCGGAGAGTTCGGCAAACGCGGATTGAAATACGATCCTCGAAGCCAAAATGCGCGGCATTTATTCTCACGACTAGGGAAAGACAACTGAAAGACACTGGAAGCGCCCTCAAGCAAAGTGAAGCAGAAGCACCTGAACATCCATGACATTGGTGCCGGTATGCCCCGTCATCACCTGATCCACCCCCCCGGAAAACACCCGATAGAAGCTATAGGAATCATTCCTCTCGAGAAACCCCCCCGGATCCATCCCCTCCCCCCGCGCCTCCTCCACCTGCCCCGGATACGCGACTGCCCCCGCCGCTCCCCCCTTCGGCCCATCCACCCCATCCGTCCCAGCAGACATGAAACACATCTCCCCGTTGCAGAACTCGACCCCCTCGCACTCGAGGGCAAAGGCGAGCGCCATCTCCTGATTCCTCCCCCCGACCCCATCCCCCCTCACCGTCACCGTCGTCTCCCCTCCCACGATGAGCGCCAACCTCGACTCGGAGCACCTCGACACCCCCTCGCAATCGAGCCCGTACTCGACCCCCAACCTCCTCGCCTCCTCCCCATTCCCCTCGAGAAGGAACCTCCCCAACCTCGCCAACCCCCGTCCTACCTCCCTCGCCTCCCCCACTAGGGTCTCGGACAAGACGAACGCCCTATACCCCATCCCTTCCGCCTCCTTCGCACACGCCTCCAACGCATCCCGATTCGACCCCACCAAGACGTTGATCACCCGACCTCCCCCCTCCCGGGTCCCCATCTCCCCCACCGCCTCCAGCACGCTCCCCGCCACCCTCCTCTCCAGCGAATACTTTCGGAGCACCTCCATCGCCCTCCCTGGCGGATCCTCATCCGGCACCGTCGGCCCACTCGCCACCGCCTCCATCCCACCCCCCACCACATCCGACAGGACGAACCCCACCCCCTCCCCCCTGAGCATCCCCCCCAACCTCCCCCCTTTGACCGTCGACAGCTTCTTCCTCACCGTATTCACCTCCCGGATATTCGCCCCCACCGCGCTCAACAGCCGGGTCGTCTCCGTCTTCTCTTCCAACGTCACCGGCGGCTTCGGCGATGGGAGCAGCGCCGATCCTCCTCCTGGAACACGAAAAGTGCCTCTTTCAAAGGAATGCCGTGACTTCCTAATTACACCTTTAAAATACTCTCTAATGTCATGTTCAATGTTATGTATCCTCCATAAGACAGTGATGATCAACCGGCGGCTTTTCTTTTGGCAAATTATGCTTATTATTAGGGCAGATCATTAGCGCAGGTAGGGGGGGGCCACCACCTGACATAGTTATACAGGTTGGGGCAAAAGTCAGGGAACAGGAATTTTCGGGTAATTTATTTTTCGAATCGACTGTTTCGTGGCAGCACATTTCCACATCTCTTTTTCGTCAGTTTGGCATACAGATTGATTGTAGTCCGAAGAAGAGCGCTCCCGCCGCGTCCACTGAAATTCGCTGCAAATGAACGACCGTTACTCACCTGGAATAATTATGGAAATTTATGTGATAATTGTCATATCCATTGCTGTTCCGAAGCCGAAAAGTGAGTGGAGTTGGTGATGATATTTACGCAGAATCAAATAAAAGTTGAGGGGCAGGGCCGCCCAAAGGTTTCCAGGGGCCCGGGCCAAAATTAAACTGGAGACCCCTTGGGAGCCCCATTGAGGTCCTTTGGAGGCCCCCCTTGGGTTCCCTTGACATGCGGAGCCCGGGGTAGATTGCCTCATTTGCCCCCCCCCCCCCCCCCCCCCCCCCCCCCCNCCCCCCCCCCCCCCCCTCTGGGCGGACCTGTTGACGGCTAACTAGTATGATTGCCATGAAAGACACCCAAATAGACCAAGACTGCATCCACTGCATTTCGGATTTGATAGCGAAATTCCGGGCAACCGACAGTGTTCTCGATGCAAAAGAAAATTGGTGCAACAGGAAGAGCCGATCAAACACCACTTCTGATCCATGCCCATACAGCCGCAACAAATCAACGCGAGAGATGTGAGATGAGAACAGTGGACACTAGGGAAAGGTCAATCGGAAAGGAAAATTTGATTCCCATAAAAATTCCTATGTTCCCTGACTTTCGCCCCACCCTGTATAAAGCTACAGACGGAAACTACACGAAAAGGGCGAAGACGCTGGAGCTTCAGCTTTCTCCAACCACATTTCAGTAAGGAATGCTGAGAGCTGTGCATTCGCTGCTGCGCCGAAACAGTGATTCTCAAACCATGTGAGAATTCCCAGTTGGCAAGAAAAAGGAGCATGTTTTAGTACAGCCGAGGGGAATCTCTTCTCTCTCTGGCCAGGATATATTTTTAACCAAATTAGCTCATAACCCTGAACTCCCCTTTTCCCACCACCAGGGGGGGGGGGGGGGGAGCTTGAGATCTAAAACGTGCAGCAAACAAGAAAAATAGGAGCTATTGCTTTAGAAGTGTGTCCGGATTCCAAAGGATTCAGTTCTGCTAATTCTGCTAATTTGAGTTCTGATTGAAGTCGTAAGATTTTGAGACCGGACAGACCAGAGTTCAAATTCTCTTTGGGGTTTGGGAGAGGGAGACAAAAATGAGGAAACTGGATTTGAGTGTCACTCCACTGCTCTTCAGACTCCAAATTCGCTCCGATTTCTGGGGAAACTGAGTTCGACTGATGGTATGGGGGTGACTAAGAAGTATTAATTCACTTTCGCTTGAACGGAAGTTGCTCTGAGGACTGGGAAGCTTCTCTGACAAAGAACCTGCGAAACTAGTTGGACGAAAAAAAAAAATCCCCCCCCCCCCCCCCCCCCTTTAATCCGGCCCTGTTTAAACCAAAATTGTTTTCGAGTAATTGAGCTTAAAAAAATTTTGCTTCTTTTGATTTGAAATTTCGAATGCAATCGAACAAACCAGAAACGAGGAAGAGGCAGACGTGAGAAGCCTGGAGGCCCTGGACAAAGTCCTGGATCCGACTGGCGGCGAGGAGAGAGGCGCGGTCGGGAAGGTTCTCCGCGGCGCCCTCGTAGACCTGGATCGAAGGGTGGGAGGGTAGAGGTGTGTGCGGGGAGGGTTTGCGGGAGGGGAAGACGGAGCCGGTGGGGACGCTGAGGATCCCGCGCTGGACGTGGTGGCCGAGGAGGTTCATGAGGGCGTCGCACATGCCCAGGACGGCCTTTCCAAATCCTGGCGATGGAACAAACACGTCAATGATTATTTCGTAATTAGTTTTTTTTTTTCTTTTTTTAGTCTGATCCGTTTAACATGACTCAGGCATCTGGCGTGGGAGTCAACTGTGAAGGCGTCGAGCTCAATTGGAGAATCGGAATGTATGCCAGCAGTGGCGCAACTTAGAGAGGGGGGGAGGGGAAAGGGGGGGGGGGGGGTTCAGTGGGTGTGAACCCCCATAAAATACCTGAAAAATAACTCCCTTGACCTCTTCAGACCCGATGGCAGGTGTACGTGCTAAATCCGCTTTACTCTTCGAGGGCAAGTTTGCGGGGCCACCCGAATGGTAAACCTGCGCTCGTAAATCTTTCGTGCTGGATGCAACTCGAGACAAAGAGAATGAACGAAAAGAAACGACTCCTTCCCCGCCCTTTCTTGCACCTAAAGTGAAAACTAACCCAGGGGTCTCAACAGGTGAAAGGTGAGTGCCTCCACGTCTCGCCGTCTCTCCCTCCCTCTTTCCTTCCACATCTATCCAGGCAAAGAAACTCTCATATTCTGGTTGTGGCAGACGGGCGAACTCCCCTTAACCCTCAAATGGTATCTTTGTTGTTTTTATTTTTCATTAAGTAGCTGATATCGTGGAGTCAAATTGACCCCAGCAATCAAAACTGTAATAAAATGACGTTTTTTGAAATGGAAAGTTCGTTGGCTACGAAACTGCCGCGATGACAAGAGTCTCTTATGTTCCCACAATACCAGTTCAGGGTTAAGACTCAAGTACAGTCGCGCCACTGTCAGCTAACTTCTCCATTGCTCTGACGAGTCCACAATAAATAAATAATTCTAGAAAATAATAATTTTTGATTTTACTTAAATTTAGTAGCGCAGTGCTACTCTAACAGCGTATCATGCTGAAAATAAACGAGCTTGCGATCTGAAATAGAGTAGGTCCTCTTACCAACAATGTAGCAATTTCGGTCGAGTGGGAATTCCCTGCCTCCGACGAACAGCACATCTCTTTGAACCTGGACGTGCCTCAGAATACAATTCTGCGGCCGCACAGCCTCCACCCCTTTGTGCCAAATCCTCAGACAGTCTCTCCGCAGCCGATCAATGATTTCCTTCCTTGCGGGATGCATCCAGGCGCTGCAAAGTTTGGGGCAAATTCAGGCTCGAGCACAGCAGACGACAGGCGCGATGTCAGCACCACCAACCAGACGACAGAGAAAACACACTTTGCGATCACCGACGGTAGATGGAGAAAAAGCCGCTTTTCTTTCTTCTATCGATGGCCCCGCTGCCAGGCGTCGCCACTTTTGTTCCCTCCGACTCTCCCTCGCACCGGAATCCGTATTTTCACGTGATTTCTCGTGACGATTATGGACCCCGTGCGGAACGCGTAGCCGTGTCGAGTGCAACGCGAACCGACAAACTATGAAGTTAGTGGACGATGTTCTTCGCACTTTCAAAGTGGCCAAGGTGTTTCGGGACAACACAGACCGCGTGAACTGCATCGACTTCTCCCCGGCCGGGGACACCCTCATCTCCAGCAGCGATGACGATCAGATCGTCATCTACGACTGCGAAAAGGGAACGTAAGGGTCGACGCTATCTTGATTCTCTCGAGCCGATTTTCGGCCGCAAAATTCGGGTGACGTTGGTCCCGCGAAATGGATTTCAGCGGTTAACGTTTGGATCTATATTGCAGGCAGAAGAGACCCATCAACAGCAAGAAGTATGGAGTGGATCTCATACATTATACCCATGCCAAGAACACAGCCATTCATGCCTCCACCAAAGTTGATGGTAGAGACCGGTCTAGGCCTATGATGGGCCTAGGCCTATTACTAATTCATTCATTTTATATTGTTCTAGAATGGGCTTGGAATTCTTTCTTTACATGGCCATGTTTTGCTATTTTTTAGATACCATCAGGTATCTTTCCTTGCACGACAACAAGTACATCAGATACTTCCCAGGACATACCAAGAAGTGAGTTTCTGTTCACGTGTCACTGAACACCTGGACGATCAAAGTACACATCTGCAATGAGGATCATCACAATGATGAACAATTTATTTCAGGGTTGTCACGTTGTGCATGTCCCCCATCGACGACACGTTCCTGTCGGGCTCGATAGACAAGACCCTGAGATTATGGGACCTCAGGTCGACCAACTGCCAAGGAGTGATGCATCTGTCAGGTCGTCCTGTTGCAGCCTTCGATCCAGAGGGCCTCATCTTTGCTGCCGGTGTCAATTCAGAATCTGTTAAGCTCTATGATCTCAGGTCCTTTGACAAGGTGATGTCCCAATGCCCAGTGAATATTGCTGTGAGTATTAGAATCTTAATGCTGTGTCTTTATATTCATTGAGGTTATGTAATAATGTTTTTCAGGGACCATTTGTGACATTCAAGATGACGCAAGAGAAGGAATGTGATTGGACTGGTTTGAAATTCAGTCCTGATGGTAAAACCATTTTAATATCAACCAACGGTTCTATAATCAGGCTCCTTGATGCCTTCCAGGGCACACCTCTGCAGGAATTTGGGGTGAGCATTCCTATAACCAGTCATTTTCATTCTTACCTCATGTCTCAATATGTTGATTATTTTGGCTGGGTTTTGTTTATAATTGCAAAAAAAAAGTCAGTCTGCTTATGCTTTCCCTAGTGTTACAAAATCCTCATTTGTTATGAAAGCCTTGTTCATGTCCAGTGAGATCCTAGGTTGCATAATGTGCCAACCTTTTATCAAGGAAAGCAGAGAATTCATCAATTACAATTTCCATCTTTAGTCATGAAGTTGTCTTTCTTCTCTTAGGGCCATCTCAATAATAAGGGGATCCCCTTGGAGGCCTCCTTCAGCCCAGACTCCCAGTTCATATTTAGTGGTGAGTTCTCCAAAGGATAATGCAAAAAACCATCAATTTACCAGAAACAAGAATAAATGACATGGCCTTCATCTTCAGGTTCAACCGATGGCCGCATCCATGTGTGGAATGCGGAATCCGGCTTCAAGGTTTGTGTCTTGAATGCAGACCACACCGGTCCAGTTCAGTGTGTCCAATTCAACCCTAAATACATGATGTTAGCCTCAGCATGCACTAACATGGTGAGCTCTCTTTCCATGTAATGAAATATAGTTGAAAATGATGAATTTGATTTTATCATCTTCCTTGCCTCTTTTTTCTTTTGCTAAATAGGCATTCTGGCTTCCAACATGTGAAGAAGGTCCATGAGTGAGAGACATGCTCGATGAGGTCTTCCCAGGCGCATCGCCTCCGTCCTTTCCGCGTCGCCGCATTGTTTCCCGTCTCAGTTTTGTTCCCCTCCCGCCTTTTTGTCTTTATCTCGAGCTCCTTTCACTCGGCAGTGAACTGTGTGATCCTGTTCGTCAACCTTGTGATATGAAGGTTTTTTAGGTCGTGCGGCATCGGCGTCACGATCGTCCTCGGTTTCTTCATCTGGGCATTGAGTCTTAGGGGGATGCAGTGGTTGCGATCTTTTCCCCCCTGGCGAATGCTAGTCGCCTTGCCCGTAGCCCGCCGACGTCTCCGTTGGGCCCCTCCCAACGAGATGGGATCGTTCTTTTCCCCCAAGTACAAAGAGAGACAGTTTTTGAGCATGAATGATTTTTTTTTTGTAGTCCTGTCCTCTTCTGTTCCCTGTCTTATGTGAATGAGGGTGTGGTTTCAAAGTGTGTGGAGTGGAAAAGCACAAGCGAGGAATGAAATTTGTCACAACTTCTGAACCTCAGGACACGATCCCTTCGAACGAATGACTTGAAAGGTTTTTCCCATGGTAGAAATCAGTTTGAGTCCCGTTTTGTCATCACGATTTGGGTGTGAGGTGTGATACATATGATTGAAGGTGTCATGTTTGCTCTACTCTTGAAACCAAAGGCTCTTGATTTTTTTCAGATTGTCAAATAAACATTGTTGCTTCCTTCATGGTTTCCATTCTTTCTGTCAATGCCTGCATGTCTTGCATGAATCAAATTAAGTGAACTCTGTCACAGATTTTTTCATTTCGTCCACAGCCTTTGCTGCAACTTGGATTCTGCTTTACAGCTCTAATATATTTTGTGGGTCTCAGGATCCATGTCTACCAGTTGTGTGATTTATTTATCTTCTACGAATTTATGAGTTGGTTATCGTGTATTTAAGTCCTTGGTGTGATTTCATCAAGTCCTCTCATGCACGAATTTTTTTAAAGCAATAAACGAGGTATTCATGCTGGAAGCAAATATTCAGCATTTATTACTCCTGTTATACAATTATGTAGAACTTGCCCTCATGTGATAGGTGCAATCCAGGGCTACCTAAGGGGGGGGGGACAATCTGCCCCGGGCTCCTGGAAATCTCTGGTTCGATCAGTCCCAGAAAACGCAAGTAAAGTGCAGTCCTTAAATGCACCCCGTATTTAGGGTTGGCGTCAGCCGATTTCTGCATTCTCTAACCCGACAAGCTGGAAGGGCGGTTCCATTGACTGCAGTGCCTGGTGATCTTTCTTATTTATGCATGTTTATTTATTTGAAGGTACGCCTTAGTGAGTCTGGTCGTGTGACCCCAGTGTTGTAATGGATGACTTGAGACTGATGCCCTGTTTAAGCAGTACTGCACAAGAGCCGATTTATAATTGGCAATAGGGGAGGACCTTCCGGAAATAGCTGAACAAAGTGAGCCTTTGTTAAGGCGTTTACACAGAATAGAAAGTTAATCTGTGTGGAGGAAAAACGAGAAGTGAGGACTTGTGTGGGGCTTTTTGCTTCTTGACGGAATGGCCTTGGCCTGCAAAGTACGACAATAAATAACGGTGTGGTATTCAAATAATGTAGCACAGTACACTCTCCAGAACGTGGGGAAATGAACATATACAGTGGCGTAGGCAGGAAATCGGCAAGGGGGGGGGGGGGGGTTTGAGGCCAGGTAGACACCCTAACCCTACGCCTAGCTCCACTAGCCGGAATTTACCTTTTCCAAGAAATCATGGTCTGGCATCTTGGGTCTGCGGACGAACATCAGACTTTTCTCGAAGGGGCATAGCTAAAATTGGAATTCCCAAGGAAGGTTGAAATATGCCTGTCAGTGTCACTGACCGGGAAGCCCAAGGAGGTTCTAACTCCCTCCCCACACCCCCTTCCCTACGCCACTGAACATATACGAGGGATAAGCGCGGGACAGTATCTGGACAAGTAACATCAATTCCAGACTTCGAAAATTTCTGGGGTTTGTTGCAGCAGGAAATCCTTAGCGTTGATCACTAAATGCTGGAAATTGTGACCGGACCCAATGCTAAAAATATGTTGTTCTCATGGCTTGAAATTTGAAGAACTGCCAATGCGTATGATTGATTAGCGTGCATCTGAGCGTACGAATCGAGCATGCCCCTGATTCCGAAGAAGTAGCGAGTGACCTCATGGTATGAGACGTATGGGTAAGGGTGGCTTCCGGAATCCCACGAACTGCCCTTTTCTGGAGTGATGTAATTTGACCTAGGCCCAGCCCATCTCTCCCGTGCTTCGACACCTGGCGAAGGACGATTCGAGTTGTGAGCGCTAGTCGTTCTGTGTAGGGCAAAGGGTGAGGCGAGAACAGTCGGGCAAAGCTGGCCTTCAACGTTGATGCATCGGAAACCGAAGCGAAAGCCATGGCCCTCACGTTTGATCCCAACGACAGAGACTCGTACGTTTTTAAATTATTATATAGGCCTAGACCTATATATATATGGCGCAGGGGTGTTGTCTGTCAGACGCACTTAAACATTTATGGCAATAACAAGTTAGAGATTGAGGATTGGGCATGCAATGTTTTTGACGATTGCCATGTTTTCAATGTAGCATCTAGGCCAACTCTTTCAATATGTAAGACTATACCTCCGTTCATCATATCAATTGTGTCTCTGAGGTGGTAAAATCCCATTCATTTGAAATTATTGGCAAACTTCAATGATATGCTGGTTGTTTTCTTTAATCTTTGTGTGCATCCCCCAATGTGCAGTAGCAAGTAATGCATACATGATTCATCAAAAAAAGTGGAAACTCTGATGGGAACAGCTTTCTTATATTCACATCACCTGTTGACAACACAAGCCAAGAAGGGTGGGAATCGTGGGACTATAGGGACAGTACATATCCATCTGATCCTTTGATGTTCCAAGCTTTTTTTTTGTTATTGTAGGTTCCATGGGTGGTTTCTAACATGGTGCACATGGTCACTTATAAATGAATTAGTATGATATGCCAATGGAAAGTCATGAGGTATGCAAGTGATTGGAAAAGAGAGGGGAGAAAAGAAAACTGGTGCATTAGAGAAGCACCTGTACATTGACTATGTGCTTGTCCCTACTCCATGCTATATGTGTGACTAGTAAAAAATTCCTCAGCTGTGTAGGTTGAACCAGGAAGGATGTGCTTCACTATCATAATTGGCTAAGTGAAATCAAACAATGGGGAAAGTTCAATCATTCTGATGTTTAGTTATATGTTGTCACTTGCACTCTCTGCTCAAGCATGGTCTTGGCATTATAGTAGAGTGGCATGTTATCTTCCACATGTTTGACTCTTTTCTTGGGAGTGAAAGACATATGGGGCAATTGATATGGAGAAGGTACTTGAGTCAGCCTCAGTCTGCAGAATATGAGGCAGCAATGAAGGGGAGGACTAGCAAAGGAGACCTGTATTGGTTTCTACTTGTGTCTCTTTTTGAATAGTTTTTTCTTCACAAATTCACCTTGTATTCAGTTTTTAAGGTAGTGCCTTAGGAGTAATGTAATGTGATCAGGGTTGACCTATTGAGAAATAATATTCATTTGGAAAACAGGAAATCTAAATTGGTTTGATGGGACAGGCAAGAGGAACTGAATGGATCTTCAATATTACCATGATATTCAATTGTGGCAGCTTTCATCATTATGTATAGAAAAGGAACTGGGATAATTAAAATTTTGATTTTGGGATTAAATTGTGCAGCTTTGTGTACTTCATAAAAATTGTTCATGGTTACTTATTCACAGTGATGAAAGCATTGGAAGTCTTGTAAACATTGACTTCCAAAAAATGGATGTGATCCAGCTGTAAAGACTCAATTGTTGCACTAAACTAACACCATCAGCTACTCTTGATATAAAATGTACAATCTCTGGTAACACCTCAAAATAGCTTGACTTTAACTGCTTGCTGAATCTAATCTTGGAGTTGTTGCTCAATGAACATTACAAAAGTGACTGACTGACTTCTCAAGAATTGTGATATAGTTGAACTTGTGTTGTCATTACTGATGGATAACATTGGTATTTAATGGCCCTGCTGGTGTAATGAACAGGTGTTTGTAAAAAAAAACAAGCAAAGCCCCAGTTGAGGCCTGTCACCAGACCAGCTTATGTCTAAACCTAAATTAAGCTATATACATGATATACAGAGTAAAAGGATAGGAGTTAGGCTTTTGGACTTGTGTATGGCCTATGAAGGCATATGTTAACATGAGGGCAATTTCTTTATAGGCCTAGCTCAGGCTAAACTAATTAGTAACTTATTCTCTTGCTTCAGGTGGTATCATGGGCCAATGTCACGACAGGAAGCCAATGACTTGCTCATGGTAGAGAGGGATGGAGGTGTTTTCCTGGTGCGAGACAGCAAAACCATGAGAGGCGATTTCGTCTTGTGTGTCAAGTGTGTAGCTTTGATCCTTTGGACAAGGCATAGGGTCTTGGTCTAGCAAGGCCTTTCCATTTTAATGGAAATATCTATCTGTACTTGTTTGACTCAGTGCAATTAATTTAGGCCTATCCAGCATTAGCAGTAATATCTTTCAGATGTCAGGGTGAGGGCATATTAGATATTCAAGCTGGAAGAAGGCGAAGAAGCTGGAAGTTAGGCATATGAGCCTGTCTTATAAGACAGGCTCATATGCCTAACTCCTAAAAATTCAGGAATAATGTTGAATTTATTGTAAGTACATGATGAACTTGTGATATAACAAAATTTCAGGGGGACTTTTATGTGATCTGACCTAAGCATTTTGGTAAAGTCTTAATTTCTGAAAATAACATATGCAAGAATCTTGCACAAAGGTAGTGTTTCTAACTGTTCAGTATCCTTCATGTCGTTTCGCTTATGTTAAGATATTGCATTGAAAAAATTTCAATAATGCTGTTAATGGCTTTGTGCTCTTCCATTCTAGAACATTCTTTTCCCCTGCTTTGAGTACCTTAAAACTTCAGTGACTGAATTGTAGTATAAATTCAATTTTAAGCTGGCCAAGAGTCTGAGTGAATCCCTCCATTGGACTCAGCCAAAATATTCATTAGGCATTTCTGCCTTTCTAGGGAAGACAGCAGAGTGAGTCACTATATCATCAACAGGATCACTCAAGATGGCCAATATAAATACCGCATTGGAGACCAAGTTTTTGCAGATCTTCCCAAGCTCTTGAGCTTTTACAAGCAGCATTACCTTGACACAACTCCTCTTGTTCGACCAGCAATGAAGAAGTTGGAGAAAGTCATTGCCAAATATGATTTTCATGGGAGAGTAAGTGGTTTGAACAGTTATTTAAAAAATTAATCCTACAATTTCTTGACATGTGCTTATGCTTAATTTTGCTTGCTTTTCCAGGATATGGAAGACTTGCCATTCCAGAAGGGAGAAGTTTTGACAGTTGTCTCAAAGGATGAAGAGCAATGGTGGAAGGCCAAGAACAGAGTTGGACAAATTGGTGATATACCTGTCAACTATGTGGAAAAGGTATAGAGCAAGCTTCGTTTGGTTCATTCATATTAACCCTTTGACTGCCAAACCCAAGTATACTCATTTTCAAACTTAGATTCCTAGGCACCAGATCTGAACATACTTGTGGGTTGAAAGTGGTATGTAGGTCACACCACAATTCTCATGCTGCAGATGACACTTCCCCCTAGAATTCCACTTCTGGCTCTAAAACACTACAATGTTCTCAAGGAACTGAAGTAATGAAAAAAAGACAGCTTGGGGGCAAGTTCTACACTCTTTAAGGCTCTGCAGTCAAAGATTTATTCAAATCTCTGGAGTACATGGACCTGTTGGCTTATCATTCTTTGCCAGTTTGTAGACATTTGTGAGGTTTTCTTCAAATGAAGTTCCTTTGAGTATAAAATTTCCTCATACTTCAGATTATACCATTTTTGTTGGATTGTCACACATTGCATCTTGACTTGGCTTGAATCCTCCTCTTCATGGCATGCTGGTTCAACTTCAGTGCAGTGATTTTGACTCTGGTGTATGAGGACTATTCATTTTGACTTATTTGCTGAATGCTGAGTGTCCAGGATGATTCCAGAATATCTCAGAGGATTATTGAATTATGGGATCCAGGAATGTAACATGAACATTGAAAAGACCCAGATTATGGCATAGCAGCATGATCTTCCAGTTTATGGATGTGAAATTAGCATGTGAGCTACACCTACAGTGTTTTTCCAAGGGTTTATGTGGTGACAACTTGTTGGTTGTATACTTTCACTGGTTTAGAATTTTTGTTTTCTCTACCAGAGTGAATACTAATACTTCTTGATGGCAATTTGATACCTATAAAAGAAATGCAAGGGTTGTGTCTATGGATCTGTGTATTATGTTTAACAGTGAGGTCTCCATGCAATAGCCATTCAGCTTGAGTCTCCCTCCTTATTTTTTAGTACCAGGAGCCACCTTCGATCAGTGATGCAGTGGTACGGCACACCAATGGGCCTCGAGTAAGTTCTGGGTCCTCCTCGTCTGGCACCAGGTCCAGTGGTGAGGTTCCAGTTATTTTGGAAGGAGGAAATCCATCGCCTACGCCTCTTGATGCTTCAGCATCACCTCCCCAAGTCTCTACTGAGGTAATTTCCCTTTGATTCCAAGGGTATTCCTGAATAAGCTCAGTGTTTCTATATAGGCTATATCTTGATTCATTCACATGCCTGATGCAACAGGTGACCCAGCGGAGACTGCCTGCACTCTGCAGAGTGAAGAAGCCATTTGATCCAAGTCCGTACGACCACGAAGCCTTGCGTCTCAAGGAAGGTGATGAGGTGAAAGTGACCAAAATGAACCCCAGTGGAACATGGGAAGGAGAATTCAATGGAAGAACAGGCAAGTTCCCTTTCACACATGTGGAGTTCATCGATGGCACCGAGGAAGAATTGTCAAGACTTGGAATCAGTGACGACTGATGCACCATCATCACTTCTACTGTGATATTTGATTCCCTCTTTGATGGTATCCTTGCGAGGAGGCAGACTATTGAGAGACATCCATCAATGCAGGCAGAGTATAGATCCCTTACTTTCTAAGGATGCATCTTGAATGAAATTCAGCTACTGGATGTTTCTGTCTCAGACAAACTTGGCAGGCCCCAGACCAGCCAAGTTGGAAGAGGTTATGCATCTCAGTGGATGACATTTAAAATGCATCATATCCGTTTTTTATCACCCACTGTAGTTTGCTCACTTTGGTTTCCAAAGGGGGCACAGAGACTTTTTGCAAGTTATGCATGGCCTGCTTTCTTTGAAGATAGAAGTCTTTATTTGACTCCTGTGAAGGCAGAATCCCTGAGTTCTTCAGAGGTTTCAATTAGAGCGTGAGCAATTGTAAGGATTCCACAGAGGCTTGGCTTGAGCAGATGGCATTTATATACCCTTTTTTATATTTAATGTTTGATCCTCAGTGCTCATATATCATCAAATGAAGACAGTCTCACAGGTGAAATTTTCCATTCTCAATAGTGTTGCTGAGGTGTGTGCATTGCTACATCCCTTCAGTTATTTACACCCAGTTTTTACCCTATTTTTTTAAGCTTTGAATATTATGGGAAGCTGCTAGGTCTGTTGAAGCCCCCACTCTAGCTCAGAACCCACAAGTTTTGATTTCGAAGGACATTGATTGAGCTGTCCCTGTACTTTCTCTGATAGAAGAACTTGATATTCAAGTGAATATCAACATACCATGCTTGAGACACTCACAACTGGTCAGCGTGTAGTCTTTCATTGCGAAAGAGTGTTCCTGAAACTTATGCAAGCAATGTACTCTGCTTTCTATGCATGCACGATGATAGTACTCAGAGCAAGCTAATGAATTTGTCTTTGCAAACATATTGGCTTCCTGAGATTAAAATTCATGTCTCTTGCATCAAAAGATATAACGGTACCTGACTGATTTCTATATTGCCTTACTGATGGATGGAAGTTGAGGTGAAGCTGTTTTTCTGTTTTGCATTTGCATACACAATCCATACAAAATTTGTCAGTAGTGATAGGCCTTGCACATGTGATAAGCAGGCATGACCAAGTTTTAAAGGGGAACAAACCTTTGAAATTGAAACAGTGATAGAAAAAAATTAATGTCCTGAGTTGAAGGCGATGCTATTGGATGTAGATTTTGAATAAGTTTTTGCATTGAAGGTATGAACAGTGATTTTGTGGTGGGGGAGGACTGGCTTGGATGTTGATGTCATCATGTGGGAGCCTTATAATGGAATCACCTGCATTTATTCCTTGTAATCTTATTGGGTCTTGTTCATCCATTTGCTGAATTGGTTCTTCCAACTTTACATTTCCATGCTTCCAGCTACCATGACTCATTCCTCCATTGCATCTGGAAACTTGAAGGAATAGGCCTTAAGTCATGAGTATGAGGCATTCTAGTCCACAGGCCTGACCTTTTAGTTAAGGACTCAAGCATGCTCAGTGTGCACTTTAAGGTGGTGGGGAACATATTCATGGAATGATACAAATTTGCATGTTTATTTTTAGAAATTCCTTAAATTGATAGATATTCATGCTGGAAACGAGACATTTGTGATGAACAACTGAAATGATTCTTTAATCTCCCTATCACTCCTCCATGAACACTGTTCAAAACTCTTCATGTCTCAGTTAACAAGGTGAGAGGTGCAAGGGAAGTGCTGGCCTTGCATGATGACATCAGACTCCAAGGATTTTCCCCCTCCATTTTTCACTTTGCTTCACTATGTGACTCACAATGCCATTGGGCCATTGAGTTCTAGTTCCTGCTATCAGTTCAATGTTTTGAATTTAACTCTTTCACTCCCCTTTAACTCAAACTAAGAATTTTTGTCATTTGTGCCACAACACTGATCTTCCACAACCAAGTCTTTAATATTTTGGTAATGCTGCCTGTCCTTTACCCTGTGAGGTGCAATGTTTACCTCAGTATCCCTAAGATGACCAGTGACTGGATGATGTTTACCTATCATTGTCTTGATGATCTTGCCTTATAGTTTGTGTGGGTTACTCAAATCATGTAAACTTGGCCTAAGCTCTACTGCTATTCAATGCAGGTGAATTACACTGCTACTGAATCTGTGAATTATTTACATATGTTGTCTGTGGCTATGAATTACCTTCGTTGAGCATCTTTTGGAACATTTCCCCACATATGGTTCCTTTTATTATCCCTTGGGTAGATGAATGTCTGTTTTTTACTTACCAAGATCTCACAATAAGGGAGTGCAGGACGATCAGAAAGGAATCCCAAACAGGACTTTCTGATCCCAAATAGGACAGACCAGATGAACGTTTACCTTGGGTGATTTGTAGATCTGAAGATGTGATTCTGGCCTTGCCAGGCTCAGATTTGCTATGTTTATTTGTGTTTTCCTCTGAAGTGTAGTTAGCACACTGGCTCTTGAGTTTCTTTGAGGGAGAGAGAAGTAGGTTTGCTTGTTTGTGTATGTGTTTGTATATGTTGAGGATTCCATGCTGGTCATGTTTGGAATGGCTCAAACGGAATGTTCCTCCTTATCCCCATTGACGCCCGCCTTGTATCCTCGCCTTCCAACAGATGAGATTTATTCTTCATAAAGGTAACTGGCCATTAGTCACGGAATGGTTTCGTGTCTTTGAATGTCCATGGGGGGCTCCTTTGGCAGTTTGGTTCAAGGGAGATCACACATATAAGAACACGTAGAAACATGCAAGGCTTCTTGTGGGTAAAAACTGCTGGATACATCTGGAACGAAAGCACGATCTGGAATTATCTCAGAAAAACGATAATCGGAAGCACGAGAAAGTGGCAATCGGTAGTTGATATTGTCACCTGGAGATAGGTAAACGGTACCTATAGGGAAGACTCACAGAATCCCTGGGGAATGGTTTAGATGAGAAGACACGCTTTGTTCTCTTTGAAGGGGTTTTCTGACTGCGAGATTCCAGTCACAAGCACGTCTGTCTTCTGATGCTCGCAGCAATACTTAATGAGGCTATAAAGTAAATTAATGATAATGAATACATAAAAGCGAAACACGTTTAGCGACAAGACGAGAAGGAAAAATAAGAGACGTACTCCTCGCATGCCTGTGAGACGGGGATCCTCTGAACGTTGGCCTCGTGCCGTAACTGTAGCACCTGCTTCTTCATCGTCTGCACCTGGGACATCATCCTGTGCTCTAAAATGGTCACAATCTTGACTGCTTTTCACGGGACTGCCGCGAGAAGAAAACGGGAAGAGGAGGAGGAACCGTGCGGAATGGAGTCGGGAGAGAACTGACGAGAGACGAAGAGGCAACAGCCAGTCACTCTTCTATATCGATCGCTGTCCCTCCTTGCATCCCCCGCCCTTCTCGTTCTTCCGCCCCTTTCATTCCTTTCAGGCCTCCGCCCAGTGAGGAGCGGGTATGGGCTCCGCCCGTCGCGTGGCTGGAGATTAGAGCTTTATCGGGATGAGGTCGAGAGGCTGGGTGGCGTGAGATTGAATGCATGACTCGCCAGGTACACGAGATGAAAACTGCAGAAGAGACCTGTCATTCAGAGAAAGGGTTTACAAGTCGCACCGCATGTACAAGGGTGAAACGCGACATAAGCTTTTAACATTATTTCTGCCTGCACGACAGCAGAGATTCCAACACGACTAAGATCCCATTCGGGAATCGGAACCGGTATGGAGGAATTCGACCACCAGGAGGACTCGGATTCGTACCCGTCCAGAGCAGAGTTACCTTTCCACGTGGAGGAGATAAAAGCGTAGGTAAAGTGGAGGTCGAGTTGGAATGCGCATGCGTGCATGACCCGTGACGTAACCGGGTGAAATATCATGGCTCCCGTTCCGATATCGTGAATCTGTGTTCCTGGCGGCACAAAGCGTGGGTACGGAATTGATCTCGAACGATAACGTGAGCTTTCGTAATTTTTCCGAGTAGAGCTAACGTTAAGCTACCATGCCCATTAGTATGACTAGTAGGCGTGTTCATAGGCTTCGGGCCTGCCTGCAGAATCGAGGTTGTTGGCCGCTGCAGTTCTGCTAACGTTAATCCTTTTAGGCCTGGTTATGCTTATGTCCGTTGAAGGCCAATTTAAATTATCTTGCGCATCGTAATTACAGCTTGGCTTGCTCTCCATTCTCGTAGAAAATGTATAAGTTTAGCAAATCAGCTGTCATCATTTCACTGCAATAAAATTTAGAATTCATGGTAATTTCCACCAGTATCAATATGGAACTCATATTCTTGAAAAATCAGTGCTCAATGTAGCAACGGTTATTCAACAGTGTTTTTGCCCAATTTAAAACACTTTGAATTCAAAAGAAGTTATTGAAATATGTTTATGGAATCATTAGAATAGGGAAGGCCTGTTAGATGCTGCCATTCACCTTTACCTAACCATTCTGAGTGAGTGTGTCTCATTTTCTTTTCTGAAGGTCTCTCTTTCCTGCCTGATCTCTCATTTGAACTTTTCATTGTATCTGTACATTGGAGTATATTTTCATTTCTCTTTCACTTCAAATTCTGATGATGCTCAATGAACTTTCAGGCTCCTAGTTTTATCAAGTTGGAAAAACTTCATAAACTAACATTTCTGTATCTATGTAGGCCAAGATCTCATGGCCACGCATTCTTCAGGCTGAGGTGAATTACCAGTTCTTGAATCAATGAATGAGAAGCCTTGGATAACAGTGGGTTTTCTTTGTTATATTCATAATATGAATACATTTTAAGCCAGCATGAAGGAATGTTGAAGTAATGAGGTATTTTGGATACAGGGTGGGCCATAAATTTTCATACCGCTTGCAACTTTTATTTTTCTGTACACCCTAAAACAGCCAAGAAAAAAATGTTTTGTACCTCTATGAGTGTCTCTTTGGTGGTCAACCTTGGCTGTTTTAATATGAATGCTTCTCTGCCTAGTAACAGCTTGAGATGAAAAAAATTGTCTGGCTGACCTTGAGACAAAAATGATGAAAAAATACAACTCTGACCATAACCCAACTGATTACTCTATGTGAAGTCTGCTGGAAGCAAGTGCCCACAAACAAAATCCAGTGACCCGAACCAATTAAGGTTCATGCCAAAAGAGGGGTGAAACCATGTCCATCCGGTGTGATCGATTCACTCACCCAAAGATTCCATGTTGCCATCAAGAAGGACGAGGACACATCAAACATATATTGTGAAGTTACTGTGAGTCCTGGTGTGTTGTTGGGATTCAGCTGATTCCATGAGAAGTTATTAGTACAGGAAATACAAGACTTTGATTTGATATGAATATTTATGGCCCACCCTGTAGAGTAAGGGAAGCATTCTTTAAGAATAAATTTGCTGACCCCATAGAACCAGGTAATTATAGTTGAATTATTGTTTAACTAGTATGCTGAAGTACATCAAGGTGTATACATTGAGGGTTGACTTGTCAATGGGTACCATAAGTTTATTGGTAGAAGGATGACAAATATTGCCAATAAATTTTGTCATTTTATTTCAAATTCAAGTAATATTAGTATTTCTTGGTTTGACCAACATTCCAGGAACCTTTTTCTGTTTCCATTTTAACTACTTTCCTTATTGCAATATTTACTCTTTGTTGTCAAATTTTTAAACCTTAACTGTTTTACCCATTTCAATCATTGACCTTATACCTGGAAAAGAACTTAACATGATGCTTGGTTATTCATGGCACATGCTGTTGGATTGGTTATGAAAGCTGTGAAGTTGAAATTAATAGTCAGTCACAGTTGATGCTCACTATTACGAAGTTCAAGGGAAGGTAGTTTTTCCTATGTTATGACGTATTTTCATGAAAATGTTATAACAAAATTCTTAAAAAAGAAGGAATGCCAAAAGAGTCATGTAGGCAAACTGCCAAAAAGTATATTTGAAAATTTTTCAAGTAAAAAAATGAGGTAAATTGGGCCCTTGAGCTACAATCCTATATGCATTTTATTTATATGACTGGGAAACATGATGTGATGGATCCACCCCATGAGCCTTACCTTGGCCTCCCTTGATCTAAGTAAAGTAAGGTCAAAATAGCCTAGGCTTTGATTGTATTTCCTTAATATTTCAGCTTACCATCTAATATTGGATAGAAATGTTTTTGAACTTGAACTTTATTATCACCTGGTGTAAAATTTGTTATCAGGTGCAGAAAGGTGTGCTGATTGCTTGTAACAATGTAGCCATGAGAGGCTGCTACCTTGGACAGATCATAAGTGCATTATGATGATGGACATCATGAATTACTACTCCTCCAAGCCTCACATGGAGCTTAGCGCTCAGATGATAGATAAAGCTACTACATGTGTTGTCTGCCGCAAGGAGCTTTATCTGGGTACCTCTGACTGCTTGTCTACAGCTATCAATCTTGGACCTTCACAGAACACTGTGAAAGAGAAACTTGGAAAAATCATCAATGTGGACTTGGAATCTTTCTCAGGGAAGATTGAGAGTATCTGTGGCAAATGTTTCTCGGCTATCATCTGTATTGATACCTTGGAGGGTAGTGTCAATGCAATGAAACAGGACATTGTCCTCACCTTTAGCCTTGCAAATGTTTCTCTAGCTGGCAATGCCAATGACAGCAAGAATTTAGGCACCAATAAAATTGAAAGTTCAGGATTGTCTCAAGCTGTTGAGACAGTTGTGAAACCACTGGGAAACATGAAGCTGCAAAATGAGACCAGTGGTCAACCAAGTGAAGCTGATGAAGAACTGACTGCTGAGAGTGTGGATGAGAAAACAGAAGATGACATGAAACAAATAGATGGGTTTGAAGACTGCCCAACTGATTCTACTTCACTTTCAGAATCAAGTCATTTCCAAATAAGTAGTGGAGCTAATGCAGAGTCTCTCTCTGATGATGTCACATCTGATACTGTGGAAGGACGACACAGCCCCGACTCTGAATTCAATACGAGTGACACTGCTTCTCCAGCGAAAGGCCATTTGACACCAGATGCCAGTGACAAGCTATTCCAACCAGTGCTGGAATTGAGGACTGATGCAATTCAAAATTCATTCCTGCCACGAGATCTTACTCCATCATTCAGATCAAATGCAAATGGCTGTGAGGAAATATCCTGCATGGTTAGTTTTTTAAATTGTATTTGTATCAACATTAGAATCATTCACTAAAACCAGTTCAAAACTAAACATTTGAAATATTAAAGAAACTCATTTGAGTTTTTGTCAGCTTTTTGAATTTTTGCCACTTTTCAGAATGTAAGTGGTGCAGCAAGACCACCAGATGCATCCCATGCTTGTGCTGATGATAAGGGAGCAGTGGGTTCTTCCTCCTACAAGAGACTTGCTGAGCCCTGTGCTGGACCCACGACACGAAGGCGTCGGTTCAGGTACATCTGTGATGTCTGCGGGAAAGGCTGTCGTGACATTGTCATCCATAAGCGTCGGCACATGGGAGTGCGACCTTTTCCATGCTCTAGGTGTGAAATCACCTTTCACACCCCCAGTGAGCAAAGAGATCATCTGCAGACTGTGCATGACAGCAAGAAGCCCCTCCTGTGCCATATCTGCAATAGCAGTTTCTCATATAGAGTCTCCTTTCATAGACACCTGAGAACACAACATGGTCTTAGTCCCAGTGGGTTGAAGAGATCAACCCAAGCCTATCAATGTGATCTCTGTGGACGTCGTTTTGTTGAGAAGAAGAACCTTCGTGATCATAAGTGGTTCTTGCACTCTGTGGTAGAAAATGGTGTAACCCTTCACACCTGTCAAACATGTGGGAAGCAGTTCACCAACAAATCTAGGTTTGAAGTTCATGTCAAATCACACCTACTCATGAGATATTCATGTAAGCTTTGCTCCTTCAATGCTAGATATCTGAACAGTCTCAATGCGCATATGGAAAAGGCACATAAGGGTGAGCCATTGAAGTGAATTTTGTTGCGAGTTCTTGCTGACATAGCTTTTTCATGAGAAAACTAATTCTTATGCCAAAATGTCGTCATCTCATGAGATACCACAAAAACTCATTCTGCATGAGTTCATGCAGATATTTCTATTCTTGATGAGCATGCTAATTCCTAAAACTAATAATGAATCTCTTCTACCCTTGACTCCTCCCTTATCTCGTCAAACTTCTTGAAGTTCTTAGAGATATGTGTAATTGACCCAGCTGTGTCTGACTTTGTGCTTGTGGGTTTAACCCATTGGCTTATGAATATTTTGGGCCTTGCAACCTCTAAATTATGTGTTATTTCCTGAAAATAGCTTTTTCTTGCTTTTAGTTTGGAAAACACTGTTTCGAAGAGAAACTTTGTTTTGAGAAAAGTTTTCTAAGTTTTCTCACTCATCCACTTTCATTGAATGACCATGAGCAGGTGCAACAGAAGCATATCAGGCTGACTCAGAATGTGACAGTTATGTGACTACAGAAATGTTCAATAAGTCTAAGCCAGGGGTGCTCAATCTTATTGAATACAAGCTATATGAACAGTGAGGCTCTCACTGGGGACTTCTTGTCTAAACCTCCTGCTTAAATTAGGAATTAGTAAGTCCAGAGGCAAAAAATCAAATATCTCTTCACTGATTTGTGGAAGAAGTAGCAGTCTGGTCATGGTTTCTCTTGCACCACTTTAAGGAAATTTGCATCTCACAATTGGCAAATGGAATCCTTTCATGGACTGGATCTGGCCCACAGGCTGTAGTTTGAGCACCCCAGGTCCAAGCCAATGGGTTAATTCAAAGCTTTCCAATTTAGGTAAAGAAAAGCTGCAGTTGCCTCTTTCTCTCACAGGTATTGCATGACAGGTTCCTTGCAGGCATACATAGGATTAGTTCTATTCATGAGTTGACTTGGTTCTGAGCAGGTGTGATAAGAATACTGAGTTGTCAATAATTAATTGCAGTCAAAAGGGAAATTATAAATGGTGTATCTGTGCAATTGGGACCATTGGATTATTGGACAAGCTAGATTTATCTACCAGCATCAGATGGATCAGTTCTCTTTCACCCATTTTGTGAATTGTTCCTTCGCGACAAACAGGAAATCAATGCAATTTTGGTACTGCTGGTTAGAATTTCAGCATGACATAAAAAACCAGCATTACTCTGGTACAATTACTTCTCTCAGTCTCTATAGGTTATCATTATGCCTTGTGATGAACTATGTTGGTAAATTGAAGCCATAATGTGAGGAATGCTCTTTAAGTTCCATGGAATACAATAATTTTTGTCATCATGGTGTCAATTGTCACAAGTAGCTTCATGATTGTGTTTCTAGTCCAGTTACAACCTAGAAGTATAAAGAGCATTTTCTGTTCAGATTGCTTGTACAATTGCCCTTGTGTACTCATTTGGGAAAGAGGTTTATAGAAGGGATAGTTCAACAAAAATTAGAATGAAAGAACTGATTACAGGGTTTTGCTTGAAGTTATCTCTAAGTTCCATGAATTTATCTTAGTAGTTATCATCACCTTAAAATTAATTATCAAATGACCCAGCAAAATGGGCAGCATACATGAGGAATACATTCTCACAAGTGTGTCACGAAGTAGTTCTAATAGAGGAACTTAAATTTGTCTGTCTTTCCTTGTCATGTGTACTTGCACTTAAACTAAACCTTGCTTTATGAGGTTGAGGGGTAAACAACATGGCACATCCCACTCTGTCCATGGAGCGCAGTAAATTGCCTGGTTCCTTTCATCAGGGAGAACAGGTTGCCAGTTGGTTGTGACCAGAACTGGAGGTTTTATGGAAATTCATTCTGACATCTGTTTTTTTGCATTGCTATCATCAAACTTAGATCAGATCATTGGAAGGGAAATTTCATGTGCTGAAACTTGATTTAAATTTAAAATGATATTTAGTTATTAGCCAGCATCCTTTAATGAGTAATCCCATAGATTAAGCTGGATCCTGCTTTTCTCCCAAGGGTATTGATCCCCCTGCCATTTATGGTCATGCACATGCTCTTTCCTTGTTACATTAGACTCATCTTCTCAATCCCCCTCCAACCTCATCAGTAATGACAGAACAAGCCATTTACGTTCCTCTGCAGAAGGAAGGGAGGGAGGGTATCAATTTCTTCAAGTCAAGGTTTAAATTAAATCACCAGTTCTTTCCCTGCAGTACATGATAGTGATAACCAAGATTTATCATAAAAGCTCATGTAGACTTGTGATGATAAATATTGGAGGATAGATGTAGGCTCCATTGTCACGTGACATCTCGAGTGTAGTACTGCTAGGCTTGAAACTGAGACTTGCTTCTTACTTGCTGATTTGACTTCAGACTGAGAATTAATTGCTCCAAAGCATTCATGCTAGTGTTAACTCTAATATATATGACATTTAATTGTCTGAGTATGCATTTATGCAATTTTTGTGAATTATCTCTTAAATATCTTTCTTGTTGCATGCATTTTCAATTCAGCTACATATTTACTTCAGTGAAACTCAAGCAGTATTTTTATTCTTGGTGTTTTTCCTTGATGATTTCTAATGGTTGATGGGTGATTTGTTTTATTTTTTATGAATAATTAAATTATGTATGTTTTTCAGGCCCAAATGAAGAGTTATCATTAGATGTTTGTTGTCCTTTTAAAGATACTGAAGTATACCCTGAATCTGCAAAATGATAGCAGTCTGATTTTAGTTCATAATTTCTGATATGGAAAGTAATTGCATAATTAAAAAATTCTTTTTTTTTTTGCCGTTTATATTCGCTGGAGGCATGACAAAGTGGTTGAACCACTTTGTCAAGGGAAACACCCTGTTCTGTCTCTGAAAAAAAGGTAAACCTGTTCTGTGAGCCAAATGACATGTCACTAGGTGTATGCTTGTGTCAGGTTGTTAGATCACTCATGATGATGGTGACTCACACTGATCCCTCAGGTTTTACCTTCTCATCATCTCAGTTTGCATTCATTCCACAACATTGATGCTGGTTCTCCTGTGGCAGCCAGCCAACAACATGGCATCGAATGCAGTGGGGGCAGCCAAGGTGGCTCCCTCCTGCCTTGTCTGTCGGAAGCACCTTGCACCTGGTGCATTCGACTGTGTCAACACCACCGATGTTCTCCGATCATCTAACAAGGCTGTCCTAGGCAAGCTGAACTCTCTTCTTGAGTCTAACTTGAGGAACCTGAATCTTGATGTAGAATGCATCTGCCGGCGCTGCTTTAACCTCCTCGACATCCTGGAAAACCTGGAGGTTATGGCTACTAACATCAAGAGTGATATCTTGACCATGTTCCAAGAATCTAATCCCAAGTTCAAAGACTTGTCAAAGCAAGATCCTGAGCCAGAACAGGATGAAAATCCTGTGGCTAATCAGGCAATCACCCCGGTGACCATAGAAAATCAAGATGCAAGTGAGGTTGCAGTGCTATCTAAACACCTATCTGACATTGGGGTGACTCTGTCATTGAAGAATTATGATTTGGAGAAGAATCCCAAATCAGAGGTCTCACTGTCTTCCAGCACAACTGCCAAGACACCTGTGAAGGATGAGGCCAAGCCAGTGATTACATTTGATGGAAGCACCACAGATAGGCCCACATTGGAGAATGGAGATGAACATGGTGTGGAGAAAACTAATGGAGACTTGACTGGAGAAGGAGAGGACCCTGTGGAGGCAGAATGTGATGCTGCTGACATGAACTTGTTTCTTGAGCAGGAGATGGAGGTTGGATCTGAGACGGTACAACCACCGGAAGTGCCTGATATGCTTCAGTCACCTCAGGTGTTTCAACGTCTCGTCACTATGGATCGCCTCAAGTATCAGCGGAAAAAAGTATGCTTTATTTTATCTGATTTGATGCTAATATTCTATCTTTTTGTATTATTTCTGTATTCAGGGCTTCAAAGTGATTAGAATATTTCTTCCATTACAGTATGGTTCAGGCATGTCATAGCATTTTGGTTTTTGTTATGCTTTGACTTCCTTAATTCCCCTTTACCGTTCTGCTGTTTGGAATGAACTTGTTTCATTCTGACAAACTGATTTGCATTGTTTGGAAGATTTAGGTTTGAGTGGAATGTAGAAAAATGGTTGCATTTTGAATGACAGAAAACTGGAAGTTCATTTTCATTTTTCAATCTTCCTTCGTTATTTTAAATCTTACCAGTTACTAAGGACAATACTAACAAAAGGGAGAAAAGAAAATTTCCAGTTCAGTTGACTGGAGTATTGTCTTTGATTGTGGACTCCCACAGCTGATATTCACTAGATTGGAACAAAACTATTTTGATCCTTTAAACTGTAGCACCACAATCACAATATTTGGCTAATATAATTATGTAAGGCACTTTTTTGTACTTATTTTCTCCTGTGATAATAGTCCAATTATTTTAGTAAATTTCCCTTCATGAAGGAAATGTAGAAAAGGATATCATTCTATACAGATAGTGAAAGGGTGTTTGAGATTTATTCATGTGATTGTATTCAATTTGACTGCACCTCATCATGAATTGGCTGGCAAGCAATATTATTTTATCGACATAGATATTCATCAGAATCTGGAACTTAAGTTTTATTAGGTACCATCAACCATGAGATAAAAACTTAGAAATGATCTTGTAGGTCTCTCTTTAAAGGAAATATTTTGTCAGATTTACTGACATTCATTGCACATACACTTAAGGAGCTATTTTGCAGGAGCTATTTCTTGAATTTGGAAATTGAGACCCATTTCTGTGATGGCATATTTTGAAATGTTACTTGAAATATTTGATAAAGAGACCAAAAAGTGATGTGTTTAGTGTGATATTTGCATTTGTGACTGAGTCTTTCCAGTTGGATAAAAAAAATTCAGTGCATAGTTGTGATCTTGAAAAAAATAATATGAAATCTTTCATTTCACACACGTACAGTATCTTAATGCCAAAGGGTTTTCAAAATGCCTGACCAAAACTTTTTTGTCATGTTATCAGCAGAGTATATTACCTCTGTGGGAGTGTGAGATCTGCAGAAAGAAGTTCAAACGGAAGGACGACCATGTCTTGCACATGAAACGTCACAACAAGGACTACAAGTGGTTCTGTGAGTACTGTGGAAAGGGATTCGTGGCAACAGCAGACTACAAGGAGCATGTCCAAGCGATCCATCAGCAGATCCAGTCCTTCACGTGCGAAGTTTGCTCTCGAGCGTTTGGTCACCGCAGTGCCTACTATCGGCACAAGCGCACGTCTTGCGACACTCAGAAGAAAATGCATGAGTGTTCCGAGTGTGGTTCGATGTTCAACTTCAAGCTCTCCATGCACAATCACATGTGGGTGACTCATGGGGTCATCCCTGAAGGAACTAAGTTTCATCAATGTCAGCACTGCCCAGAAAAGTTCATTCTCAAAAAGAATTTCAAGAAGCATTTGGTGTCACACACCAAAAAGTTGTCTTACCCATGCACCATGTGTTCATTTGCATCTCACCACAAGACAAAACTCCAAGCTCACATGAAAGTCCAGCATGAAGTTGATGAGATTTCCTTCCATGAAGTCTATCCTGGTGGATCGGGAACGGCAGCCATTGCCAGGTGAACTGTGAAACACTCCAAAATTTACATTCCCTGACTTGTTTTGTTTTCTTTGTTTAACATTTTGTAGAGGAATCCTAATGCGGTGATCGTTGAAGCATATCTCATGTTTTCCCTCTTGTCTGAACCGAATTCCTTCTTGTTCTCAAAGACACTAAACAACATCTGTGATATATTGTACATGTTGAAACCACTCTACAAAAATTTGTCTTTCCCTGTTGGCTCTTGTCTAGACTCAAAGCGTTCCAGTGACCATGATCTGTGGATATTAGAGTAGGAGAGTGATAGAAAAGTCCATCCATGTTTTTCCTATTTCTCTTCCAAATTCCAAGGTCATTTTTATATCTTATGAGATCAGTGGAAGTGATTGTTATCAATCAAGCTGTGATTCTTTTTCTTGCTATCCTTGGAACAACTAAGACTTTATGTACAGGTATCAGCCTAAATGAGGAATTTCCACACATATTTACGTTTAAATGTCATTCCATGTAAGGGCCAAACCCTTCCATCACCATTAATAATTGATGTATTTTCAGCTTAACCTACAATTTTTTGGAAGTGGAAACTGCATGAATAAAAAAAACCTTTTCTGCTCAGCTGTAGCGACGTGCACTAGTCATCACATTATTGAATGTTCAGAAGTGTATGACTGATGTGAATGCCTGCAAAGGAGGTTGAATTGAAAAATCTTAAAAGAAAACCTTGTTAGGTAAGTATTGGCTGTTCTCAGTTCAGACGGCTTGAAGGAGAGGTCAACTCCTCTGCTTGGGATGAAGGTCTCATCCCTTGTCTTCCTTTTTATCCATTCAAATGAAGTGAATTCCATGTTCCCACCATAAATGGTTTGTAAGATCATTGAGTGGCTTTTTTTGGAGTCCTGACAGACCCTGGGATCATTGCTGAAAAGCTCTTGGAAGTGTTATTGACAATGGCAGTAAGAACTCAGTTTGAAAACAATAATGAAGTAGGTGTATTCTCAAAGCTGACTAATGCCTACTGTCTGGTTGCCATTGGAGGTTCAGAAGTCTTCTATAGGTATGCACTTCAATTTTATTGCAAGTTTAGGAATTTAATTCCTTTCTTTTCTTGAGGACATTCCATGTTTTCCCTTTTCAGTGTGTTTGAGAGTGAATTGGCAGACACTATTCCTGTGGTTCATTCCTCCATCGCAGGCTGTCGAATCATTGGACGGCTGACTGTTGGTGAGAGGAAAATTTTCATTTGAAAAAACATGCAGCATTATGTTTTCAGTTAATTAGAGTTGCTGATTGAGCTGCATGTACCTGCATACTAAAATTTTAGGCAACAGGCATGGGCTTCTGGTTCCAAGCTCAACAACAGACCAAGAACTTCAGCATTTGAGGAACTCACTCCCTGATTCTGTGAAAATCATGAGGGTAGAGGAGAGGCTGTCGGCATTGGGGAACGTCATCGCGTGCAATGACTATGTCGCCCTTGTCCATCCAGATCTGGACAAGGTCTTTCACCCCTTGATTCTCAAAAACACACAAAGAACTACGTTTTAAAGATTTGTTGTCTGGGGTCCAGGAGACAGAGGAGATCTTGGCTGATGTCTTAAACGTGGAGGTATTCAGGCAGACGGTAGCCGAGCAGGTTCTGGTCGGGTCCTATTCCATTATCAGCAATCAGGGTGGGATTGTCCATCCCAAAACATCCATCCAGGACCAGGATGAGCTCTCATCATTACTCCAGATCCCTCTAGTTGTGAGCAATTTCATTATATTGAATTGAGTCACAGAAATAATGTTTCATTTATTAAGGTGAATCTCTGAAAATTACAAAGCTAAGTCATCGTGCATATCATGCTCCCTTTTATCATCATTATCAATGCCAACAATTTTTCATTATCAGAGACTTGTCTTGGATCGGATGTTATACTCAAATTTTATTTTTAAAATGCACACCTGGAAGCTCAAATAATGGTGAAGCTGAGGCCCTCCCTTTGCTCTGAGGAGACAGGGAAGGATTTTATAACCTTTCTGTCCAGTCACCTGTCAACTGAGATGATGGCAAGAACACTCATCACAAAAAAACGCACCACCAAAGGAGTTTGGTGGTAGTAATCATATTTGGTGCAGAAGTTTGTAGCATTGTTCTGTGAAATTGATAATAGAGTTTCTAAGGCATAGGATGAATATTCACAGATAACATTTCCTAAACACTTCAAGTGAGAGCATGTAATCATCATGTTTATCATCCAATACATTCACCCAGAAGGATTTTAATAATGATGTGAAAACAGAGCTCCTAAAGGTGTGTAGAAAATTTAGCAAAGCTTCAAAGTCATAGAAATGGGCAATGCAAAGAATTCCCATACACACAAAGTGTGGAAGAGAGTGGTGCCACTGATGATGCCAGTTTCCTTTTCCCCTCAAGCCCATTTGCTATTGGGCTTTTGTTGCAATAGGTTAAATGGGATGGTTAGCATGCATCAGGCTCATTCCTGAAGCTGACATATCCATTCCAATTGTGTTGGGTTTTTATCTCTTTTATGAAAATTTTGAAATTCAAGTAAAATATAAATGATGTAGGTACTCTATAAAAAAAAATAGGAACTTAGAAGAATATATATAATATAGGAATTTAGAACTTGTGTCATTTTTAGGATAGAGGCCAATAAAACTTGGGCCCTGACTGATTGCAGAGGGTTGCTGCTTCTCCATGATTCTTTTGCCAAAATAATGATGGAACAAAATATACTACTCTGTGGGGCTCCTACAACATTTGAATTGATTTTCATGAGCAACTAGCAATAAAAAGTGGGTCCTCATAACTTGTGTCAAGTTCAATGGAATGGTTTTTGAATTCTTGCAAGTATGAGTTGGAGGTCTTAGTTTTCATGTTACCTGACATCTTGCCAGTGCCATCTCTTTTGGACAATCCACTGTTGATTAATTTTAAATGATCACTGCACAAACACACTACTGGAAACACTTGACTGGTGGAATGAGGATAAAAGAGTCTGTCTACGGATTCCACTTTGCACGGTTTTCCTGAGTTTTGTCGTTTGACGCTTTCTCTGTTGCCATTCACAGGCGGGAACGGTGAACCGAGGTTCGGATGTGGTGGGGGCGGGGATGGTGGTGAACGACTGGTGCGCATTCTGCGGTCTCGACACGACCTCCACGGAGATCTCCGTCATTGAGAGCATCTTCAAGCTCAACGATGCCCAGCCGTCTGCTATCACCACACAGATGAGGTCTTCCCTCATTGAAAGGTGCCCATGCTTCTTTCTCTTTCCCTCGAGGGTGCAGCGTGGTGGTATTTACCGTAAGGGTGCTTTTGGTTTTTTTTTTCGCAGCATGACATAGCAGAATGAGTGTCAAGATGATGCTTTTGGGATGGGGAGATATCATGGGCATCACTTTCCAGTTGGATAGTCTTCATCCTGAGTCCTGTGACCTGAGAAAGGGGCATCATTCTCGTTTCGTGTCGTTGTTTTGTTTCGATCAGAGATCCAAATAAACTGAATTTTCTGCGAAGCCGTTCTCGTGACAGAAATGGAAGTCATTACGAGCATTTCATTGTGTTTGATGGAGGAAATGACAGGGTGGAGCCTTACATCTAATTTCAGCTGCTCGTTACCCTCTATAAAAAGATGCTAATTCCCGGCCTTCCTGTCGTGATGAGAAATTCACGAGGGACGGATTCGTCGAAGAATTCGGCGTTCGACTGGACCAGGCTTGCAGAGCTGAACTGGGCACCATTGTCATGGCTGCCGCCTGGATGTCTCACACTGCAGTACCACAGACGAACCGGCGTCAGTGCATCCCACAGACCCACTTGAGGGACTTCTCTTTTTGGGCCTGGAGGCCCCTGACGCTCCTGTGGGAGCACTGGCACCCGTAAGCGCGAGACCCGGAGCTAGGCACGAGCTTCCCACCCACGGCGGGGTAGTTGTTCCTGAGGAAGAGATAGTCCGTTCCGAAGTCCCATCGCATGTCGTCGAACGTCAGCACTTTCAGGTCGCAGCCGGTGCAGTGCAGGCGGTCGCATGCCCTGAAGCGAGAGGGAAATGCCGTTTCAGACCTTTTTATTTGCGTATCGAAAGTCACGTTCCTTCGACGAGAAATGGCCACGAAATACATGTATACATGTATGTACTTGAAAGCTAAAGAGGTGCTCAGTGCAAATACCACATCCCAAGAGTCATACTTTCAAAAAAGAGCAAACTTTCTGAAGGGGTCGTTGAAAGTTTTACAGCGTGAAAGTGAAGATTTAGATAGATTCCTTAGATGCATAGAATCTCTTTAACCTTTCCGTGGTGAGGGTGGAAGCACCGGTGGCGATGAGGGAGCCGCCGAGAAAAACCCGGGAACACTTCTGACCGGTCGTCTTCGGTGGTGATGACGTCACCGACGTCGTCCGCTCGCATCCTCCCCCCGCATCCCCTCGTCCCCCGCTGACCCTATCAGACGACGAACGGCTAGCCTAGAGGAAGGATCTGTGCTTTGGATTCGTTTTAGTGCGAATCGAAGGTCGAACCCGTGCGATGGAGCCGATAATTGAGCCTCGATCCGGTCTAAGAGCGTGTCGATGTCCTCTTCCTCCTCCGTCCGTGACTGCAGGTGGGTCCGTGACTCCAGGTGGATTCGTGGATCCGCGCCCGTCATCGAAAATGGATGAATCGGAGACGATCGAGCGGCTGAAGACCCGAATCGCCACTTATCCCGGATTCCCCAGGCCAGGAATCTCCTTCAAGTACGTTGCATGCACTCCCCGTTTCACCACGGGCGGGTATGGATCGGGTTCATCGATCGGTTACTGTGGAAAACCGTCCTCGGGTTTTGCGTGAGTCGTTAGGCCGATGGCAGCCGATCGCGCGGTGGTTTCAGGGGAACGAGAGTCGGCAGTATCTTTTCACTGTTTTGAGGATCGATGACGTCATTCCGTTTCCGGTCTGTGGAGATTCCGAAAACTTTATTTTCTGATTGGGGCTTTTATTTCTGGTTTAGCCGAGCAGACTCGGGGATCCAGGCCTGGCCCTTTAGCGACTTGCGTTTATTTACGCCCGGCTCCGGCACGTGTGTGGTCGTAAAAATGTTATATTCCAGACCAGTGCTCTGGAGCGTAAACAGGAAAACTCCATCTCTGCTGCCACGTTTTTTTTTATTGCAAATTTTCCTCAACCGATCCATAATGAATGACTTTGATCGGCACGATCACAATTTATAATTTGCGTCCCTGCCCTGATTAAATCGCCACACCCAACGGCCACACCCTCGTTCCCCCGACAGAGACATCTTCTCCCTGTTCCTGGACCCGAGCTGCATCTCGGACCTCCTGGGGATCCTGTCGGCCCGGGTCGCCTCCCACCCCGGCCGGGTGGACGGCGTCGTCGGGGTCGAGTCGCGGGGATTCCTCCTCGGGCCCATGCTCGCCCACAGCCTCCGCCTGCCGTTCGTGCCGGTCAGGAAGAAGGGGAAGCTGCCGGGGAGGGTGCTGGCGAAGGAGTACGAACTCGAGTATGGCCATGTGGGTCCAAGGTTCTGGTTCACTATTTTTTATTATTACGATTTGTAATTTTTTATTTACTTATGATACAATGAATAATATATATATACATATATATATTTTTTTACTGAGAAGGGGCTTGTGTATTACTTTCGATTGTGGTGGTTTTTCGTTGCTCTCTTAGGTGCCATTTTGATTCGTTGGTAGTATAGCTGAGTTTTGTTGATTTTGTTTCGACATGTTGGGTGGTACAAGTAGTCATTTAGAAATTGTGTTCTCTAATTAATAGAACACGTTGGAGATCCAGGTGGAAAGCTTGAGCTCGGAAAGGACAGCGTAGTTCTCTTCGATGATCTGATTGCGACTGGAGGTGAGGCCGCGTTTTTATTCATTTCCTGTTTTTAACATTCAAGTCACTATTTTTTTTTAGTACTATTTCCCCGTCGATTTTTTTGGGTTCTGTTTCCACGAGAGCCGATGTTTTGAGTAAAATGCATCTCGATGCCAGTTGCCGCCGTTGGCCATTTGTGTGAGTTGCGAGCGTTCTTCCGCGTACCAGTGCGCTTCCATGTCGGGATGGAATCCGTGGGTGCCATATTTGGAAAAAGCTCGAAAGGACTCGTTCGAATCGCATGGCCCCAAGGAGCCATCGGTGACTGATCAAATCCATTCATCTTCGTGCGTGTATTTTCTCCATTTCTGATCTACAACACTTGGAAACAAAATCACAATGGTTCCCTCCTCACGACACTCCCAAGCGTCACGAGACCCATCAGTCAGAAAACCAGGCCTCGGTAATGATCTGCGCAATCTGTCTGGGCGAGGGAGGCCTATTACGAGGACCACCCAAAGGAGGATCATTCAGGGGAGGGTCATCCGGGGGAGGGTCATCCAAGGGAGGGCCATCCCCAGACGACGATTCTCGTCCCTCGTTCCACCCGTCGAGAAGCGCTTGAAACCGCTGTTTGAAGTCCCTTATGAACTCTGGCTCCCCCTCGTCCTCCTCGATCACGGTCCCGAATCTCCCCAAGATCTCCCTCAATCGCTGCTTCAAGTCGGCACCGCCGCAGAGGAATTCGCACGTCTCGTTCTCGGCCGACCCGATCGTCTTCACCCACTCCGAGACGACCATCCTCTTGAAGCGGCCCTTCGGGTGTCCGGAGACCACGGCGTTCACGTCGAGACGGGTGTAAGGGAGGTGGCCGGCCTTGAAGAGGACGAGGGGGACCTTCCTCTCCTGCGACGACGCGTCGACTGCGAGGAGGAGACGGACTCGGCCGTCCAGGAGGTCGAGACGTCGCACGCGGTACTTCCAAAGTCGTCGGTAGATGTCTCTGGGGCTCTGCCATCCGCTGCGGTCGACCATCCGCTTCACGTACTTCCTGGAGATGGGGTGCGGGTGTCCAAGCTCGGTCGCGATGAGGTTCGCTCGGGCCATGAGGGAACGGATCGGCTGGTCCTCGCCGATCTCGGCCAGGAGGCGTCGCTCGAGGGCGGGGTACTTGGTCACTCCGGGTTGGCCCCGGTCGGCCCTCTTGTGCAGGGGGAGGTCGGCGATCTTGGTCGACTCGCGTCGCCAGCGGGAGATGGTGGACTTGGGGATGTCGAGGGATCGGGCCGTTCGACGGAGCCCCTCCTGCGAGGCCATTTCCAGCACGACCAGCTTCTCCGCTGTCGTGTAAGATCGTCGGGGGTCTCCTCTCCTCCTGTGACGACGCATCGGGGATCACGGAAGATGCCAGATGTGGATGGAATTGCTAGAATGCGCGTGTGAACGAGACCGTCGGATTCAAGGGCAATGCGATCCACGAGAAGCGATTCCCATTCGGATATCCCGGTATTCCCAACGGGGAGGATCCCCACGTCACGATCGAGAACCATCGATTCGTGGATCAGCACGACGATGAAATTAAAAACCCAATATTCCACCCGACCCCACCCTTCTTTTATCTTGCACGAATCCGATTTTTTTAATTTTATATTTTATTTGATTTCTTAACGTGTGATATTTAAAAATTTCCACAAGGTTCCCTTCGCGCGGCGACGGAGCTGGTGGAGCAGACGGGCGCCCGGGTCGCCCTCTGCCTCGTCGTCATCGAGCTGGACTACCTGAAGGGGAGGCAGAGGCTCGGGGCCCCGCTGGAGTCGGTCGTGCACTTCGCCGAGTGATGGGCTCGAAGTGATGGGGAAATCCGCTTTCACGTTTACATTCGCTCGTATACTTGCTTTCGATTTTCGGGCATTCCAGATGGAGCTTGTGCAGGGTATTTTTGCAATACTCGATGGCAAAAATTAGAAAATAAAATATATTTTTTTCTTCCTGCCGAAACAACATTTCCCTGTTGCGGAAAATGCAATTTCCTTCAGACGTGGACCTCTTTTAATTAACGATTCTTCGAGGATCCATGGGCTCCTATGAGGAAAAAAGAGGTCTTTAACTCGAAGAGCCCCTTTTCTCGCCCAAACGTGCTTTAAGTATTATGGGTTAAGCGATTCGTTCACGAAAACTCGGATCTCGGCACGCCAACACGAAACCGGTTCCCGCTTCGGATATTCTTTCGACGGAGGCGCAGACGAGCTCGCGAGCCAGTAGGTGCCCCGAGCCCACCCGAGTCCCCTCGAGACGTCACCGTTCCCTGGCAACGGAGGAAGACGGGGAAAATGCTGGGGCGGTTGTCGGTCGCGGTCAGACGCGGTTCTGCCTTCGTCTGCGGTGCGACGGGGAGGCTCTCCGAGAGTCTGCTGGGATCGTGGAGTGTCGGGTGCGACTCCGCCGGATTCAAGATTGGGATCTGCCCAGGTCGGTTCGGGGCCCGACGGTAGGCCTAAGATATGGGGAAGCGGGGGGGGAGAGGCTTAACGTTAGCTTCGTGTTTCCGGGAAACGAGTTTCCGCCGTTGCAGCGTGAGCTGGCATGGCCCCTTTCCCTGGGTCCCTGGAAATTTGCCTCATCATTGGAAACTTGGCAAAGATGGCTTTCTTGTGATCCAAAACGTACAGAGGTGTACTGGACAGGAGTGTACGCCTCGGGACGGAGGAGTCACTTCTCCGAGAGGAATACATATTTAAGCCTAGGCCATGCACGAATGCGTTGACTAACGATAAGCCTAGCCCTAGCCTATGAAAGGTGAGGACGTCTGACCCTTTGACAATCGTTTCTCCCGATTCCATGTCGACACTGTCATCCGGCACCACGTGTGATCTCGAAGAGGCAGCGAGAGCGAATCGCTAAAGGCCTAGGGGGAACAAACCGACTAAAGATGGGTGTGGGTCGAATGAACAAGCAAGGCGGGAAAGCGTCAGGTGCTGCACGTGGACGAGGCTCGGTTCCGATGAAGCGAGTCGGTGCAGCGATGCAGCACGCTCGATCTGGACCTTCCGGTTGTGTTCCTCGTGGGGCCGACGTGCACCGAACGCAGGCCGGACGGTAGGCCTAGGTTGGGTAGGCCTACGGGTTTATTGCATTGAGCCTATCGGCATTTGCCGCACCGTTTCTAAGGCCTAGTAGCCAAGGTCGGCCGGGTAAAAGTAGGCTAGGCCACGATCAGAGTAGGTGCTGCGTTGACATCATAATTTTCAGTTTATTTAATGGGAATGGAGCGAAACCTTGTGAAAGTCTTATCAAGTAACGTGTCGGCAGTCAGGATTTTCTAGACTGTTGAAAACTCTGTGGACTTCAGAGCAAATTTTTTAGTTTGCAACAACAGATGAAGAATGTGTTGCAAAGCTTGCACAGGTGCTGCCCAACAAGTCAAATGTTAGCAGGAAGATATAATGCACCCATCTCACTGGTAGCGTACAGTAGTTTTTTCCACATCTTAGCAGCCATAGAAAAAAATAAAATTTTGATACAAAGCGGTTTTGCTTATGAACATCGTTAAATAGGTACCCATGCCTCAAAAGGATCAAGTCATGTGATTTTAGACTGAAGGTATGGGGTAAGAACTTTTGTCAAATCTCAAGGGTTTAGATTATGATAGTCCTAAGGTTAGGCACAGTTGCATGTAGCCTCACCCCCTTGCATATTTTCCTAGATTGAGCATGGGAAAACTCCATAATGAATGGGACTCCCAATTTTTATTCTTGCAGGTCGGTTTGCCCATTCGACGGTCATGAAACGACCACGGCCGCTGGTCCTGTGTGGCCCGTCGGGCTGCGGGAAGTCCACCCTCACTACCTTGCTCATGAAGGATTTTGGAGATTACATCAGATTCTCTGTGTCCCACACGACCAGGCCTCCAAGATCTGTGAGAACTCCTGGTTCATTTAATTCCACTTGTAAACCTAATGTAGGCTATGTTGTTGGTGTATGCATTTACTCATGAAAGAGGAATTTGCAATAGGGAGAGCTGAATGGGGTTCACTACTATTTTGTGAATCGAGAGGATATGGAAGAGGACATCAACCGAGGAGACTTCATAGAGTCGGCTGAATATTCTGGAAACCTGTATGGGACAAGGTAAGATCTCATTGAAGTGTTCTATTTTGTGTCTCATTCATGTTTATGTGCAAGTGTTTCAATGGTTTTGGTCTTCTTGTAGTAAGAGAGCCATCGAAGAGGTGCAGGAGATGGGGAAGATCTGCCTCTTGGACATTGACATTCAAGGTGTAAAGCAGTTGAAATCGACTCCCTTGAATCCCCTGTACATCTTTGTGAAGCCTCCCAACCTGGACGAGCTGGAGAAGAGGCTGCGAAGCAGAGGCACGGAAACGGATGAGTCCATACAGAGGAGACTTCAAGTTGCTGAGCGTGAATTGGAACTGGGTAGGGAGTCATGTAATACTGGAATCTTTTCAGTAGCATCCCTCCAATCATATTTTGATGCTTTGCAGGAATGAAGCCGGGATACTTCGACCTGGTGATAGTGAACGACGACCTCGAAGCGGCGTACAAACACCTGAAGCGGGCAGTCGGGGAACTGGTAGACCAGGCTCGTGTTTGATTCGCTGCTGCCGTCTTCCCTCTTCTCACTTCTATCGATCTCTATTTGGCCTCTATTCCTGGCTATTCTTGACTGCCACCTTGATCTTGAAGCATTCTCTTCCTCACCTCAGTACTTCTTGGTTGCTATCTAACTAGAGTCCTCCAATAAGTAATGATGTGGCCTTACTGCAGATGATCAAACAATTACTTTTTTCATGGGGAACATGAATGGTATGAGGGAAGCGGCTATAAACTCAACAGTTGATGTTTTGCAATACTGTATCCCCAATATCATTATACTGAAACTGAAATTTATTTCTGTACCCTTTGGATTTTTCCCATGTCTAAGTGACATTGCTGTTTTTAGTTGCTCCACAGGAAATGCATGATTGAAGCTTGCCAGTCTGTAATTTGGCATTATATTATAACGTATTCATACATCAACAAGCCTGTCCCACTCTGACGTTTTATTCTGAATTTGTTTGGATAAAATTGACCCATAGATTATCCTTATGCAATAATTGCATATTGTACCATTTGGCATAAATATGTATTCCAATGAACCTGAATGCAGTTGTGAAAAGGTGACATTTTGATTTGCTATGTCCTATCAAGAGATGAACCTGTGCTCCTCCTTTTACTGCAGTGTCAGGAAAGCCTGGATGTGTAGTCATTTGCTTGTCTTTGTGTTAGTCTTAATCTTTATCTGGCAAACTAATGACTGACAACCACTGGCCTCCTGCATTTGAACCAAAAACTTGGAGAAACCCTCCAACAGTAGCAATCCTCGTGTAGATGGTGAGGCCAAAATAATGAGAGATGTAAAGGAAAGAGGAGAATACCAGAGGTTACATGGACAAGGTCTTCTTGGGATGGTTCTTGAATGGAGCCCACTGCTTTGCTCTGCTTCTATACCAAAGTTGAAAATTTAAATTCATGATGAATTTTTTACTTGATGAAACTTTAATATAATTGTCAAGTTACATTACATTTTGAATTGTGGCAAAATTTTGATCAAATTGGAAGATGTATTTCCACAAGTTAAGGTATATTTGGTACTGACAGGCATCCAGCCAATGGTGATGGGGACCTTGCTTCTTGTTGAATGAAAGGAGGCTTGTTGAACATGAAACATTGATACCAGAGCATTTTGGCTGTGGATTCTGTGGTTATTGTTTTTTTCTGGGTTTTCCCCACACTGTTTTGAGCTGCACTAATTTGTGGCATGGGAAGAGTCTTCCCCCCTGAGTTTGGTATGATGTAACTTTAGTGACAGTGGGTGAACCAACTGTGGTTGGAAGTTAACTGAATGGGGCTGCAGACACTGACCACATTCACTGTTCATTAGGCTGAACCCAGAGCCTTTGATAGGATTTTTCATTTAATGTGCAAGACTTCTCAGCATTGATGTTCTCAATGAAATTGCACCATATCACACCATCCAGTATTGGATCAAAATGTGTAGGCAAGCTTACATGATTTTCTCAGATTTTATTTAAGTAGTGTGAATGGAGAAAAAGAACTTCTCTTTTTCTAATTATTTCCCACTCCAGTTTCAGAAATATGATATGGTGGCACTGTAGGAAGCCCTTACTGTACTCTGTGATGATTAAGATTTCAAATAGTGGGCAGGGTCGTGAATATTTCACCACTCCTTCATTTATCAAACAGACTCCATTTCAGGTCTATTAATGTGATGATTTTGTCTGCTTATGAAATTCACACTGGTGATGGTGGTGGTGGGACACCTGATGTTTTTCCATTCGGTCTTTTAAAGTTTTTACTTGATTTGGTTTTTGCCTTTTTGATGTTTTGCTACTCTTATTTTTCCTATTCATATAATTGTTCTTTTTCTAGTGCTATTTGATCTGAGATAAGTAACTGCTGCTTCAAAAAGACTAAATGAATTGTAATTGAGAGGCAAACATACAGCTTTGAAGTTTGGTTTCATAATAATCTTATCAACCAGGATGTAAACTGGGGAGCAAGCCCTTTTTTCCTTTTGTAAACACCTGAAACATCACAAGGTCAATGAGCATTCAATGTTAATTTTATTTTCATTCCCTTTCGTTTCTTTTGATCCCTATAAACATTTTTTTTTCTTAGTCATTTGGAGTCTTTGTGACCTAGCACCACTCATTGGACTGATACACTCTTTGGAAAAAGACATAGTTCATTATGGTGATTCACAGAAACATGATTCAATATTCTTGAGGGATTTTTTTTTTCAATACTTTGGAATCCTTGGCATCACCTTCATCAATGTGCAGTCTCATGTTGCCATTCTCATGATTGCATTATCATATCTTATGGCTTCTGTAGAGATGGGGCACTCTCTTTTCATCTCACTTGCATTCCTTTATCCTTGATGCGTACTTTTGCTGCCAAGGATGCCTACAGGGGTGCATGGGAACGGGAAGGAGGAGATTGGTTTCCGGCCAAATTTCAAGTCTACCTCTCCCATAAAGAGATAAAAACTATTTTGCTTCTCAAAAAAGTATTTCTCTTCCACTTATGACTGCCAGGCTGATGAAAATTTTCATCTTTTTCTTTAGATGTATTTGAATCTCCCTTTAGCAATAATATTGCATGATTTTTATTTGATGTGACTCTTGCAGCAATTGTTGTAGCACTGAAGTGATGACCTAGACTTGTTTTTACTCAAGGAGCATATCTTATCTTGTCATAGCAATCTTCTTACCGTCCTGTAATTTCTGATTGTCGTTCTATATTCCCACAGTGGAATTAGTATTGTGGCACATTCCAAGTAGGTGCATCTTCTGGTGCCCTTAATTTGTTTTCCCACAAGTTAGCTATTTTGGTATCGCACTTGTGTGTATTTGCAGCAAATTCATCACAAACTCTGTGATAGAAGTTAGTGTCACTAGAGAACAGGCTGGGCTCCTTAATCAGATCAGTGTCTCTAATATTTCTCATCCTATTATTATCTCTATGTTGATGCTCGTGATGGTATTTGGAATCGCAAATCTATTTCTGCATTAAAGGGAAATTGTTCTTGAATCCTCTTGATTTTCTTTGCACCTCTGAATTTAGGGCTGTCAAGGAAAGAACCTTGCACCAGGTTTCATGGTGGCCTCTTATGGTGCCCCAGCATTTGCACTGTGATTGATGATTCTTGATGCAAATTTGAATTCCTGTTGTGCAGAGGGTCCCAAACCATTTCATATTATCCTTAACTTGTATCATTTTTGTACATCATTCTTCATGTGAATGAAGAATGTCATTCCAGTTTCCAAAGTCAAGATTGAGCTTGTAATTTTGAAGTGGCAACTATTGTGCTTTGATGGAGAACCTCTTGGAGGCTCTAAGATCTTTGAATACAGCATCCACTTAGGCAATTATTCTGATCTGCTTCTAATTAATTTCTTTTTCTTTCATCTCCATGTCAGCAGTAGGGAATGTGAGGCTTGTACTCGGAGCATGCTGGAATGCATTGCAGCAACTAAGGGCAGTGCATGAATTACCAAACTTACTAATAAGGGTTCCTTAATGCTTGGCTTCAAATCTGATCAAGTTGAGTAGCCTGGAGTAAGGGATTTATGGATATTGTTTGTCTGAGCCATCTATTTACCATATTGTCATTAACAAATGGCTGTCTCTTGCTGCTGTAGCTGCATATGATTACTGCTGATGTTGGTATTGAGATAAATGAAACCAAATGCACCTACATGTAGACACTGGAATACCTTCATCAGAAAATTTTTTCCATTATGCATTAGGCATTGTTTCTAGTGCACTGTCGCATCTGCTTAGTGTGTGTCAGCAACCTGTGTCACTGCAATTTCTGTATTAGTTATGCTATTTTGTGTCTTGAGCGCTAAAAATGACTAGAGCTGAAGCTTAATCAAATACACCAATACCTAGTTTTGCGTTGGGGTTAGGTTACTGGAAAACATGACTCAAACTGAAACAACGCAACTTCAAATTACTCAAATCGAATCAATGCAAAATGGGTTATTGGTGTAATAGAAGGGGAGATTTCAAAATTTACATTGGAGTGCTTCCAGATGAAACACATAAATTAGTTAAGGATTTTCCTAGATACAGCATTTCAAACGACAAAACTTATGGATTGCCCAGTACATTACTGCAGAAGGGGTCATTTTGCTTGGAAGAGAGGTGGAAAAGATGGATGAAACATAACTGGTCTATTATTTTGAATTCTTGCCATTAACAGAACATTCTTCCATGGCTTTCCTTTTCTCCCATCTTTTAGTGACCATGGACTTAGGTGGTTTGGTTTCAAGTGTTGATGGTATGAGTGCAAAGCAAAATATTCGTTGAACTTTGTTCTGGACATGGAAGGAAGAAATAAAGCCAAGAAAGAGAAAAGCCCTCTGAATTGCCTGAAGCTGGAAATTCAGAAAATAATTGGTGAACAATGGAAGGAGGAAATGATTAGGGAGATCCCCAGATCCTTTGTCAGACATGGAGACCTCGTTCTTATTGATGGGAGTTCCTTCTCCAGCCCCTTCTGGAAAGGCTTTGGTGTGTCTTGCATGTTTTTACTGACATCAGGTCCCTTTGCTTTAAATCTTGTAATTCATGTACCATTTACCCTTGGACAGAGTCATCTATATGGGAGGCAGTGTCAAGCGTGCTACGATGCAATCGCATCGCCAAGAAAGGATCTGTCCTCAAGGATGGTTTCAGGACGCCTTCTGTGTCTTTGCTTCGAGGTGTTGATCCCTGGGTTGTGCACAAGGACAATGGCATCTTGTGGGTTCAATAAATGATGAAAATTGTATAATGCTTATTAAACAAAAAAAAGATACCTTCATATATGGAAGCCATGGATGTGGTAGTTTCCTTAATTACTTGGATTCTTTTAAGTAGGATACAATAACATTCTGTTTTCCATACCCTCCCCCCATGTTTTGGCTGGTCCTCAGGTACACATGGGATGTGACAAAGTGCATGTTCAGCACGGGGAACATCGGCGAGAAGCTCCGCATCGCATCGCTGGACTGCTCTGGAGAGACCATTGTGGATCTCTATGCAGGCATTGGCTACTTTGTTCTTCCTTACCTGGTCCATGCCAAAGCCAGGCATGTTCATGCATGTGAATGGAATCCTCATGCCATCCAAGCTCTGAGAAAGAGCCTGGCTCTGAATGGAATCCAGGACCGATGCACTGTTCATGAGGGAGACAACAGGAAGGTGAGAATGGAATTTTTCTATCCCTATCAGGAGACGCATTTAGTTATTGGGCAGTCTGTGTACTCTATCATAGCCATTTGTATTAAATGACCTCCTACCACATTCCATTTCACTTATTGACATCCCTCATCAGTGGTATAGCCAGGACTTCACCAATGGGGGAGCTAAGTGGAATGGTGGGGGGGGGCTTTCTTCTCGTTGGGAGAGGGGAAGGAGGGAGGTGGTGGATGCATTTTGATCAGAGTTGGGGGGCTGAAGCCCCCGCAGCCCCCCCCCCTTGCTATGCCACTATCCCTCATGTACTGGAACAGAAGAAAGGTCCTTAACTGACTTTCTGGGTTGGGAACGTTGACAGATGTGCGAGAAGTAGTTATGCTGCAAAATTGGCAGGTTACAAATAACATGTTACCCTCAGGACCAATTGAAAGTCAAATATCCATGAAACTAATGGATTTTAGTTGTCCTTAAATTTTAATGGCAAGATGAAAAGTATAAAAAAGCTGCAGAATGGTAATTGTCACATGAGTGAAGCACTCCACTGCTATAAACACTGGTTGATAACAAAACCTCCCCTGTGATGGTTCTGAACATTCATGAAGACTTAATGGTCTTTTTTTGGCAAACAGGTTTGCCCAGAGAATGTTGCGGATCGAGTCAATCTTGGCCTCATTCCATCGTCTGAAGAGGGTTGGGTCCCGGCCTGCAAGGCTCTCAGGCGAGATGTCGGTGGGATGCTCCATGTTCACGGAAACGTGGATCTCGAGTCGCATCGTCCCGAAGAAGGAAAATCACCTGAGGGCAGGAAGGAGTGGATTCGCTGGGCAGACTACGTCCAGGGGAGAATCGACGAGATCTTGAGATCCGAATGCAGACTCGATCGGACGGTGTCGAGGAGCGGGATCCACAGGGTGAAGTCCTATGGTCCACGCGTGGACCATCTTGTCCTTGAACTTCACTGCAATCCAGCATAGAGGGTGCTAGAAGTGGGACCTCTAAGAGTTCTGTGGTCCTGAATAGGTAATTAAAACTTAATTCTCAAGCAGTGATAAAGTGCTTCATGTGACTTTCAAGTTCTCGGAACTTATTGATACGAATGGATGGTATTCGTCCTCATGCATGACAATTATTCTGAGCTGGAGCTCAGAGACTTTCTCAGGTTTTGTATTTGTGCTTTGAGAATGACATCTATAGTACAACCAATGAAAGAGAATCACAGGTTCATTACGTGTTGATTCTGCAGGTGATTTGGCATGGATGTTGCGTACATGCCAAATTCTTGACATGTTTTAAGTGTTAGACAATTTGTTGCCTCTTCAATGCAGTCGGATGAAGAGAATCCTATCGATTATGATGGATTGAAATTTTGCATTGCAGAAAATAATTGCCATCCAAATCACTAGAGTGCTTATTGAAAACAGGCCAAAGGTCCTCATTTTGTATCTATTTGAGCTGGAAATAAATGAGAACTTTCTCATTTTTACAGTATTTTCCTTTTTTATTCTATTCTTCAACAATGTCATGAGAATTCTGAAGCTCAGACATTCTGGGGTTTCCCTTTGCTAAATGTCACGCTCGAATTTAACGTTTGGAATTTGAATACCAAGATTCGGATTGTGAGACCTTACTTTCGCAATTCTCACAAGTTCTTGCGCGATTGCTTCTTTCGATTGGTCTTACACGGATTTTGCCCTACTGAATTTCATTATCCGGGAAGGAGGGGGGGATCTTTTGGAATTGGCCATACCCTAAAAATTAGAGCACGTCACGCAACAGCGAACCCCAGGGGGTCACAGGAAATGGGACACGAAAGCCTCGCTACATGTGGGGATCAGACCCAATGAGGTCGGATGGTAATCAGAGAGGTTACGTGTTCTTTTGATGGTAATTTAGCAAGGGGGAAGCAAATCTCTCTTAGCTCCGCTGATTCCAAGTAGGAAGGAAGGTACTTTCTTGGATCGACGTTAACAACTGCGCAGAATTTATTGGATCATCGACGGGGGAAAGAACGGAAGAAGAAATGCAGGGAAGGTGCAGCCTCGCGTTCGTAGGGGAGACTCGCACGCACTTCGTCCAAGTACGTGGACGGTCGAATCCGTTGGCTCCTGTCCGCCGACCGTGGTCCAGGTCGTCGGCTCGCGATGAATTCGCGGCAGTTCCCTATACTGACTGGCCCACGGTTCGGAGCACACACCGAGTCGACCGGCTGTGGGGTCGGGATGGCGTGGCTCGACACGCCACGTGTCATCCTGCCGGAGGTTCGAGACGGACTGCCGTGGGGCAGGACGAGGGCGTGAAGGGTAGAATGGCCCGTTATGGCCACTCGGCGCAGAAATTCGGGGACTCTTCTCTGCTCATTATATCCTCGTTGGCATGAGGAGGACACCACAACGTGTTTTCTTTGCATCTAAAAAACGGAAAAGAAAAATGAAAACGAAACAGGTTGGCCGATAATTGTTGCATGCAAAAAAAAAAGAAATTTCCAACCAGCATTACCCGGATTGCTCTCATTTTTGTAATTGGTCTTGTTTAAGGCCGGAGGAGAGGCAGATACGGAGTTGCGGCAAAAAAAAGCGCAATCATTCTCCATCCTCTCGCGAGGTGACGCTAGGGTATGGATGTTTAATTCTCGATCCTCTCCAGAGACGACAGTCTGCTGTTTAGTTCCCACTCCTTTCCCGAGATGACACTAGTCCCGGGGCCGCATCACTCACCTTCGCCTCCAGAGATGGCGTCGGGGAGCAGTTCCGTCCGTATACAAATCCGCACTGTTTTCGGATCCAATAGGTCTGATGATGACGATGAACTCACGGCACGTGTATGCACCCGAGGGCAGAGGAAAGAGGAGAAGCGGAGACCTTCCATCGATGAGGACCTCGAGTTTTCCTCGCACGTGCAAGCGACGGTGGCCAAATGCAACAGGATTCGAGGTTACATTCGTCGGTCGGTTGCAAGTAGGACATCTCACGTTATTCTTCCGTTGTATGCGGCGCTGTCCCCCCCTCCCCCCCCTCCCCCCCCCCCCCCTCCCCCCTTGCCGATTTCCTGCCTGCGCTACTGGGACCGCCAGCGGCCGATTTCTCCCCGCCGACCCCGTGCATCTTTCCGATCGCGTCGAGTGCGATCGTGCGCGAGTCATTCTTCCCACGTCGATTTTCGGATTTCCTCTTACTAGGATTCGTGATGACCGTGCATTCCCCCGAGAATCTCCTCGGAGCAGGCCGGATACAAAGGAGAGAGGAAATTCCCTCTCGAGAGGAATTTCTCCCGCTATTTTTTTTTTTCCTATTTAAAGCTGAAAATAGCTGGAAGGAACGGAAAGATCGAGAAGACCTCCTTGAAGCAGACAAAAAGAAAAAAAAAAACATAAAGGACCGGAAACGTCGATCGATGAGAGCCGAACCGAGGGAACTGCAGGGGACTGCGAGCGATGCCGATTTCGACACCGATCGTCTGCCAAATCATTACAAAATATGAATGAAACTATTTTAAAATTGCAAATTACCCCGAATGTAACTGGTCGCCAAATATCTTCGATACGATCCCTCGATCGATCGTGGGAATCCAAGCGATGGAGTTTAGGCCAGCTGACTTTCTTCTCGATCCTCGATGCAGGCCAGGCTTGAAGAGTAGATAAGGTTGGGTCGAAAGCGAAGCCCCGAATAATGGCGGTTCTAGCCCGAGGGCAAATGACGTCACTGGTGTACACCAGCCCCGACTGCTCCTTTCTCGCCATTGGTTTTCCTCCGATGTCATGATGCTACTCGAAGCATAATGTCCACATTTCGTAAGCAGTCGCTTATTTTAAAAAATGTCCCTTAAATTGAGGAAGGGAAAGCATCGAATGGTAAAGAGGTGGGGAGGATTCCGTACTGAAAAGTTTGAGGGGGGTGCAGTGAGAATATATTATTATTTACTGAAATTGTTAACATGTGTCATTCGCCTTTTCTAAATAGCAATGAAAATAAGCGTTCATCGTCAGACTTCCTCGTTCTGTGTTGCTGTATCGGAGGAAAGGAGCTCGTTTGTCATGGTCATGGCAGATCACGTGGTTTTCGTGAACACCACGAAGATATTCCTTCTCGCAAACTTCAACGAAAGACTTTCATTTCTTCCTCACCTGCTTGCCCTTTGGGTCATCTCGGCGAAAGATGAGAATCGACCCAAAAGGGTTGTTTTTGGGATCCCTCCCTCGGTCGACTTCAGAAATTCCCTTTTCCGCGCGTTTCCACCGCATCACTTAGATCTTTCACGACCCAGGATCATTTGAAACGACGAAACGAAAGTTTCTCTCCGCCGGCTCCAAAATTCATCAGATGTTCTTGGGGGCGGCAACTGCACATAGGACTGGCATCTGCGAATGCTACGAAATCGGGCAGCGCCACAATCTAGAGATGCAATCGTTCGAGGGCGATAGAATGGAGGTGGAAAGAGCAAGGCAAGCTGACTAGGAAAAAAAACTAACCAATGTGACATTTTTAGCAGGAGATATAGACTAGGAAAATAGGAGATTTTATCGGTCAGCCGAGGTGACGTCATTGGCTCTCTCTCTCTCTCTCTCTCTCTCTCTCTCTCCCCAACCCCCGCTGGGATGTAGCCCAACCTTTTCTACTCTTCTAACCTGGGATGCAGGGAACTCGGATCGTTCCACGAGAAACCTCGTCGCCGACGAGTCGTTGGCAGTCGCGGCTGCGACGAGGCCTCGACCGATCTCCGACCGGACCGAATCCGATGACGTCACGAGCCTCGACTGCGTCTCCGTTCCGCAGAGGTCACCGCCGTCGCGCGGGCCGGGAAGTCGGGCGATCCCGCGCACGGAGTGGGCCAAAACGGATGCAGCGATGGGCTACGAGTTTGCAATCCGAACGGGCCCATAGGCCTATTCGATTTTGTTCTCGTTCGTGTTCTCGGCTCGACCGACTCGGGATGCTTCGGAAGCGACGGACTCGCCTCGATCCTTCCGTCGAGAAGAACCCACGTCGCAAAATCGGTACGAGATGGAACGTGGAAGAGAAGTACCGGTGCATCGTGCCTCTGGCGTGTCCTACCTGCAGGCAAGCGGTTCGGTCATTTACCTAGTTTTTTTTATTTATTAACGCGGTGACGTAACGATGTCACGTGTCGTCTTCGACGGAGTTTCGTGCCGGTCCCGAGAAAAATTCCGCGAGGAGACGACGGAGGGAAGGGTACTACCGACGGGAGTACGCCCAGCGGTACTTCCTGCGGACGGAGACGAGAAGCGATTCCCATTCGGATATCCCGGTATTCCCAACGGGGAGGATCCCCACGTCACGATCGAGAACCATCGATTCGTGGATCAGCACGACGATGAAATTAAAAACCCAATATTCCACCCGAC